CCAGCCACCCTAGTCATAGACTGTTCTCTCTGCTACCGCACGGCAAGCGGTACCGGAGTGCCAAGTCTAGGTCCAAAAGACTTCTCAACAGCTTCTACCCCCAAGCCATAAGACTCCTGAACAGCTAATCATGGCTACCCGGACTATTTGCACTGCCCCCCCACCCCATCCTTTTTACGCTGCTGCTACTCTGTTAAGTATTTATGCATAGTCACTTTAACTCTACCCACATGTACATATTACCTCAACTACCTCAACTAGCCGGTGCCCCCGCACATTGACTCTGCAACGGTACCCCCCTGTATATATAGCCTCCCTACTGTCACTTTATTTTACTTCTGCTCTTTTTTTTCTCAACACTTTTTTTTGTTGTTGTTTTATTCTTACTTTTTTTGTTTAAAATAAATGCACTGTTGGTTAAGGGCTGTAAGTAAGCATTTCACTGTAATGTCTGCACCTGTTGTATTCGGCGCATGTGACCAATAAAATTTGATTTGATTTGATTTGATTTGTAACAACCCTTTTATATTCCTTTATTGTGAATTATTTTATTTTAGACTATATAGCCTATGGCTTCCCCCCTTTAATTATTAATATAAACTAAACAATTTTTTATTTTTTTTTAATTAAAATAACAAATCAATTAAAAAATCAATAAAAAATTATGAATAATTAAAACCAATTTTTTATTTCTATATCCTATCTTACCAATTTATCAATTAGTGGCTATCTTACCACAACCCATCAGGAAAGTAAATGCAAGTAGTCAACTTCACAGCAATCCTAACAACAAAGCCCTCTAACCCTACAATCACTACAATACCCATAAACCCCCTTGCTCTATAAGCACCTAATTATCTTAATTTTACAGAATAATGTCAGTACTCGATTTCCAACACAACCCTAATCAACCCAAGTGATGCACAGAAACTCCAAAATGCAAATTTTATTCAAATTGATCAGTCTGTTGCCAAGCCTCTGTGAAATTGTCATAACATCAAATATCCTGTAGGGGAAGATTTTGTAAACAGAACAGCACCAAAGAAACCTTTTGACTCGATCCTCTGTCGCGTCACGTACACGCCAGCACCTCCTCTCTTTCTCCCTCTCTCTCTCCTCTCGCCCCATCGTTCCTCTCATATGACAAAAGAGCATAGAAACAGAAAAAGAATTTAGCAGTTTATGCATTCACTGAGTTATTTCCAGCATTCAATATTCCTTCGTTCACATTCGCTCTAAGAATCAACTCAGGAATAAATATAGATAGCTCAATAACATTTTTATTTTATTTTAATCCGTCATTTTATTTTATTTATTTTAATCAGTCAACATATATCTCTCTCATTTATCAATTCAATAGGTCACAAAACCGGTTTCATCTTTAACCAACAGCCGCTTTAACAACTAGAAGATTCCATTCATTTTCAAATCTTTTCTCTTTGTTCCCTCTCGTCTGTGTCTCTGTCTCCCCCTGCAGCACAGTCCAACAGAGGTATGACCAATTTACCCCAAATCCCCCGTGTTGTAGTTTTAGTAAACAACGTGTTGTAGTTTAGTACCGTAAAATCAAACGTGTCATAATCTCGTGCCGTAAACTCCCCCGTTTTGTAGTGTAGTGTCGTAAAATTAAACGCATGCGCAAATACATTTAACGATACGATTTCCAGACAACAGAACGTTAGCATTCTGCTACAGCTCCTCTCTTTTACCCCTTATAGTCAAACAATAACACTTAACAGAGCTCACAACGCATAGAACCCTGAATTCTACACACACAAACATAATTTAAGAGGCTTTATTCCATCGCAATGGCCCTCTAAGGTCACACGTTAGCATGTAGCATGTAACATATTAGCATTTAGCATTAGCATTTAGCATTAGCATGTATCTAACCTGTGGCTTGCAACACGTAACAAGTAACCTGCATTGCCCTTTTCTTTGTCCTATTCTCTACCGTTTATGATGCCGTGAGTTCAATGGATATCTACAGAGAGATTCTCCCAAACAGCTATCCCGTCGGATAGAAGATGAGCAGTAACCACAATCAAATAAATTCCACAAACCCGAGTCCCCAGTACCCCTTAGAACCCACCTAATACACATCTAACGCGCAGAAGGTTTTTCGGCCCATCCTGGATGGCCCCCCTGGGGTCTTAACAAGATTGCAATGCCCTAATGTATACGTATATCTGCCTTTAATATCTGCCTTTAATATCTGCCTTGTATCTGCCTTGTATCTGCCTTGTATCTGCCTTGTATCTACCTTGTATCTGCCTTGTATCTGCGCCGTATTCACTACCATCGATTGCTCTAAAATTTTAGAATAATTATGACAGACCCCTAGTCGACAGCAATAACACCACATCAGCACACACCCAAGTAATTTTACATGGTACACCTTCACCAGCGCACATCCATAAGCCAAACAACTAACGCCCAAACTTTGTGAGGAATCTCACCTTATAGCGGGAGTCACCTCGTGGCTCATGAATGAAACAAAGGGAAGTTGCAGACCAATCCCGGACGAGCCCCCATTTGTCGTATCTTGTCGCTGCTGGTGCTCATTGCTGTCAAACAAAGGAGTCTGCTCATACTGAACCTTTGATCATACGTTTTATTCATATCACAAGATTTCAGCATAAGTGACGGATGTCATGACACCCGGAGAGCAGTGTCCTCGAATTGTAATGTCTGCTCTAACCTCTTCTTCGCTTTTTACCCAGTATATATAATCTTCCCAAGATGTGGGTGGCTCCCTCTACTGTCCAATCCCCTGTCTACAACACACACTTCCTGTCTGTTGTATGTGGCGTTACACTAAAACATTCCCTCTTGATACTAAAATAAACATCCTCAAAGGTTCCACTTAAACCCATAAAGAAAGTCATAATCTAATACACTACAGTAATTATTTTGCATTATAGCCTATTTATTGCCTTACCTCCATAACTTGCTACATTTGCACACACTGTATATATATTTTCTGTTGTATTTTTGACTTTATGTTTTGTTTTACCCCATATGTAACTCTGTGTTGTTGTTTTTATCGCACTGCTTTGCTTTATCTTGGCCAGGTCGCAGTTGTAAATGAGAACTTGTTCTCAACTGGCTTACCTGGTTAAATAAAGGTTAAATAAAAAAAAATACTCAGCCTTGTCTCAGGTTAGTAAGTTGCTGGTTTGTTGATATCCCTCTGGTGGTGTGGGGGCTGTGCTTTGGCAAAGTGGGTGGGGTTTTATCCTGCCTGGTTGGTCCTGTCCGGACAGAAGGAGACAGAAAAGGAAACAAAGTAGTTATCAGAGACCTGAAGGAAGGTTGCAGTGAGATTAGTAGGCAAACAGCTTCTAGTAAAGACGAGGTCAAGCATATTGCCTACCTTGTTAGTGGGTGGGGACTGGGAAAGTTTGAGGTCAAAAGAGGCAAGGAGTGGAAAGAAAGAGGTGGAAAGAAATTAATCGAAGGCAGATGTTGGAGGGTTAAAGTCGCCCAGTACGATTAGCCTGATTGGTGGAGTGCTGCAGAGATGGTTGTCTTTCTGGAAGGTTCTCCCATTTCCATAGAAGAACTCTGGAGCTCTGTCAGAGTGACCATCGGGTTCTGGGTCACCTCCCTGACCAAGTCCCTTCTCCCCCGATTGCTCAGTTTGGCCGGGCTGCCAGCTCTAGGAAGAGTCTTGGTGGTTCCAATCTTCTTCCATTTAAGAATGATGGAGGCCAATGTGTTCTTGGGGACCTTCAATGCTGGTGACATTTTTTGGTACCCTTCCCCAGATTTGTGCCTCGACACAATCCTGTCTCGGAGCTCTACGGACAATTTCTTCGACCTCATGGCTTAGGTTTTGCTCTGATATGCACTGTCAACTGTGGGACCTTATATAGACAGGTGTGTGCCTTACAAAATCATGTCCAATCAATTGAATTTACCATAGATGGACTCCAATCAAGTTGTAGAAACATCTCAAGGATGATCAATGGAAACAATATGCACCTGAGCTCAATTTTGAGTCTCATAGCAAAGGGTCTGAATACTTATGTAAAACCTGTTTTCGCTTTGTCATTATGAGGTATGTTTTGTAGATTGATGAATATTTGTATTTAATTAATCCATTTTAGAATAAGGCTGTAACGTAACAAAATGTGGAAAAAGGGAAGCAGTCTGAATACTTTCCGAATGCACTGCACTTCTGGAGATATCAGGAGTCCTCTAGCTATAGATTGAAGCATATTGTTATTGAAAATTGTCCTAATAGATAAAAATAGTGTGTTTTAATTAGGTTTGAGAATTTGTAATAGTGTTTTGTGTACAGAGTGATTCACCTTTATAGTGAGGGGCAGCAAACATCTTATTAATTAATGTAGATCTAATGAAATTGTCTAGCCAGTGAAAAAACTATATTATTTGACCTTCCCTTAAATCCCCCATGCAGTCTTTAATTTTATTTTAAAATCATCAATTTCTGTCAATTTATTTTTTATTTTTTATACACCTCCAAAAATATATTTTATATAATTTATTTCCCTGAGCCTCCTTGGGCCACTGAAATGCTCAGTCAGACTGTGTGGGCGTGGGGATAGTTTTTTCATCAAAACAAAAGGCATACATAATGCATCTTAATTTGCTATATCATTATTGTAGTGTTTTCAATAGGTCAACAGAAGATGCAGTAGATCACCAGAAAATGCACGACCAGAAGTATCTTTTCAAGTTATTGTTTCACATGTGCTCAAGCTCTGGAAGGTTACAGGAAAACAGAAGCTCTGGAAGGTGTTCCTGTTACAGGAAAACAGAAGCTCTGGAAGGTGTTCCTGTTACAGGAAAACAGAAGCTCTGGAAGGTGTTCCTGTTACAGGAAAACAGAAGCTCTGGAAGGTGTTCCTGTTACAGGAAAACAGAAGATCTGGAAGGTGTTCCTGTTACAGGAAAACAGAAGATCTGGAAGGTGTTCCTGTTACAGGAAAACAGAAGATCTGGAAGGTGTTCCTGTTACAGGAAAACAGAAGATGGTGAAAGTAAGAGGGTGTTAGCTAAACATAATCAGATAGGAGGTCTAGAGCAGCAACAGAGTAGTCATCGATGGTATAAACTACAAACGTTTGAGTGGTTTTATTTACATTGTCATCACCAACTTTCTCGAACACTGACATTACTATACACAAATACACAACTATAATCTCACCCCGCGACAGGAAAGGTGGACGAGTTAGTATTTCACACTTACTGCACACCTAGCTTGTCAACAAGGCTTGCTTGGCGGAATCTGTTGTGATATGTGATGGTTGCGGTGAAGATCTACTGGAGAATATATCTCCAGGATGGTTGGTGACCAGTGCCCCTACACACACTACAAATGTGTTCTAGAATAATCAATCACAGAGAGAGCAATAGCCCCATACCCATTGACTAATCGCTTATAGGGCATGGCTCAACCAGTACACTCTCTGAAAAAATGAAAACATATTTTGTCCCCATTGCAGAACAATCTTGGGTCTATATATTACTATTGTTCAGTACGTGCCACAAGGGTGCGTGCTCAGCCCACTCCTAAACTCCCGGTTCACCCATGACTGTGTGGCCAAGCACCCCTCCAATTCAATCATCAAGTTTGCAGACGACACAACAGTAGAAGGCTTGATTACCAACAATGACGAGACAGCCTACAGGGAGGAGGTGAGGGCTCTGGGAGTGTGGTGCTAGGAAAATAACCTCTCACTCAAAGTCAACAAAACAAAGGAGATGATCATGGACTTCAGGAAACAGCAGAGGGTGCACCCCCCTGTCCACATCGACGGGACCGCAGTGGAGAAGGTGGAAAGCTTCAAGTTCCTTGGCGTACACATCAATGACCAAACTGAAATGGACCACCCACACAGACAGTGTGGTGAAGAAGGCGCAACAGAGCCCCATCAACCTCAGGAAGCTAAAGAAATGTGGTTTGGCACCTACAACCCTCACAAACTTTTACAGATGCACAATTGAGAGCATCCTGTCGGGCTGTATCACCGCCTGGTACGGCAACTGCACCGCCCGCAACAGCAAGGCTCTCCAGAGGGTGGTGCGGACTGCCCAACGCATTACCGGGGGCAAACTACCTTCCCTCCAGGACACCTACAGAACCCGATGTCACAGGAAGGCCAAAAAGATCATCAAGGACATCAACCACCCGAGCCACTGCCTGTTCACCCCACTATCATCCAGAAGGTGAGGTCAGTACAGGTGCATCAAAGCTGGGACAATAGACTGAAAAACAGCTTCTATCTCAAGGTCATCAGACTGTTAAACAGCCATCACTAGCACATTAGAGGCCACTGCATTTAGACATAGACTAGGAATCACTGGCCACTTTAAGAAATGGAACACAAGCCACTTTCATAATGTTTACATATCTCGCATTATTCATCTCATATGTATATACTGTATTCTATACTATTCTACGGTATCTTAGTCACATTATGTCACGGATTCAGCCGAAGCTGTTCCTCCTCCTTGCTCGGGCAGGCTTCGGCGTTCGTCGTCACCGGAGTACTAGCTGCTACTGATCCATGTTTCTATGTTCTACTGGTTTTGTCTGTATTGGTCTCACCTGTTTCCCATTATGTAATTATGTATTCCCTATTTAACCCTCCGGCTCACACTGTGTGTTGTGCGTGTTTGTTCAAGTTTTGGTTGTCGTATGTGAGCGGGTTTGTTCCTCCCTGCATGGAGGTATGTTGATTAAGTTAACTACGAGTAAAGTACGTTTTTGATTAGCTCTGTGTCCTGCGCCTGACTTCATCCTACCGCATCACACTGACGCCTTGACACTTTAATATTGTTTACATATCTTGCATCAAATCAAATCAAATTTTATTGGTCACATGCGCCGAATACAACAGGTGCAGACATTACAGTGAAATGCTTACTTACAGCCCTTAACCAACAGTGCATTTATTTTAAACAAAAAAAGTAAGAATAAAACAACAACAAAAAAAGTGTTGAGAAAAAAAGAGCAGAAGTAAAATAAAGTGACAGTAGGGAGGCTATATATACAGGGGGGTACCGTTGCAGAGTCAATGTGCGGGGGCACCGGCTAGTTTGTCACGCCCTGGCTCTGGGGACTATGTTATGTTGAGCCAGGGTGTGTAAGTCTATGTTTTGTATATCTATGTTGGCCTGAGTGACTCCCAATCAGAGGCAACGAGTGTCAGCTGGTTGTCTCTGATTGGGAGCCATATTTAACTATCGGTCTTTTCACTTTGTGTTGTGGTTTCTTGTTCATTTCGGTTCGTGTGAAACCGTAGACGTTACGTTATCGTTTATTGTTTTTGATCGTGTGATCAGTAAAATAAAAAGGATATGTTCACTTTCAACGCTGCGCCTTGGTCCACTCTGTTAGACGATCGTGACAGAAGAAACCACCAAGACAGGACCAAGCAGCGTGAAGAGGAGAGTGGATGGACCTGGGATCAGTGGAGTAGGAGTCTCAACTGGGCCCAGCCAAGCGAAGAGCAGAAAGGTTGGACTTTGAAGCAGTGGAGTGAGAGTCTGGCGAGAACTAGGGAGGCCTGGTCCACGGGGAGGAGAGAACCCCAGAAAATTTTTAGGGGGGGGCTCACGACGTGGACGACGGGGCAGCCGGAGGCCGCGATGGAGTGGTCCAGCGGGTGTGCAGAGGAGGCCGCCAGGTTAAGGGGGCCACTGGTCACAGAGGAGAGGGAAAGTGTGGAGGCACGGCGAGAGGTACTGGGGTGTATTACCAGTCCGGTCCGGCCCGTTCCTGATCCCTGCATAGGGCCAGTGGCGTGTGTCCCCAGTACGGTTCGGCCTGTTCCTGCCTCTCGCACCGAGCCTGTGGTGCGCGTCGTCAGCCCTGTCCGGCCCGTTCCTGCTCTCCGTACCAAGTCGGTGGTGCGCGTCGCCAGCCCGGTCCGGCCCATTCCTGCTCTCCGCACCAAGTCTGTGGTGCGCGTCGCCAGCCCAGTCCGGCCCATCCAAGCTTCCCGCACCAAGCCAGTGGTGTGCGTCGTCAGTCCAGCACGGCCCGTTCCTGCTCTCCGCCCCAAGTCTGTGGTGCGCGTCGCCAGCCCAGTCCGGCCCATCCAAGCTTCCCGCACCAAGCCAGTGGTGTGCGTCGTCAGTCCGGCACGGCCCGTGCCTGCTCTCCGCACCAAGTCTATGGTGCGTTTCGTCAGCCCTGTCCGGCCCGTTCCTGCTCTCCGCACCAAGTCTGTGGTGCGCGTCGCCAGCCCAGTCCGGCCCATCCAAGCTCCCCGCACCAGGTCAGTGGTGCGCGTCGTCAGCCCGGTCCGGCTCATTCCTGCTCCCCGCACCAAGTCAGGGGTGCGCTTCGTCAGCCCGGTCCGGCCCGTTCCTCCTCCACGCATCAAGCCAGGGGTGTGCGTCGTCAGTCCAGCACAACCCGTGCCTGGGTCATGTCCGGAGCCGGATCCGCCGCCGAGGCGGAGTGCCCACCCGGTCCCTCCCCTGTTGTGGTTCTTTGGCGCGGCCGGAGTCCGCGCCTTTGGGGGGGGGGTACTGTCACGCCCTGGCTCTGGGGACTATGTTATGTTGAGCCAGGGTGTGTAAGTCTATGTTTTGTATATCTATGTTGGCCTGAGTGACTCCCAATCAGAGGCAACGAGTGTCAGCTGGTTGTCTCTGATTGGGAGCCATATTTAACTATCGGTCTTTTCACTTTGTGTTGTGGTTTCTTGTTCATTTCGGTTCGTGTGAAACCGTAGACGTTACGTTATCGTTTATTGTTTTTGATCGTGTGATCAGTAAAATAAAAAGGATATGTTCACTTTCAACGCTGCGCCTTGGTCCACTCTGTTAGACGATCGTGACATAGTTGAGGTAGTTGAGGTAATATGTACATGTGGGTAGAGTTAAAGTGACTATGCATAAATACTTAACAGAGTAGCAGCAGCGTAAAAAGGATGGGGTGGGGGGACAGTGCAAATAGTCCGGGTAGCCATGATTAGGTGTTCAGGAGTCTTATGGCTTAGGGGTAGAAGCTGTTGAGAAGTCTTTTGGACCTAGACTTGGCACTCCGGTACCGCTTGCCGTGCGGTAGCAGAGAGAACAGTCTATGACTAGGGTGGCTGGAGTCTTTGACAATTTTGAGGGCCTTCCTCTGACACCGCCTGGTATAGAGGTCCTGGATGGCAGGAAGCTTTGCCCCAGTGATATACTGGGCCGTACGCACTACCCTCTGTAGTGTCTTGCGGTCGGAGGCCAAGCAGTTGCCATACCAGGCGGTGATGCAACCAGTCAGGATGCTCTCGATGGTGCAGCTGTAGAATTTTTTGAGGATCTGAGGACCCATGCCAAATCTTTTTAGTCTCCTGAGGGGGAATAGGCTTTGTCGTGCCCTCTTCAATACTGTCTTGGTGTGTTTGGACCATGATAGTTCGTTGGTGATGTGGACAACAAGGAACTTGAAGCTCTCAACCTGTTCCACTACAGCCCCGTTGATGAGAATGGGGGCGTGCTCAGTCCTCTTTTTTTTCCTGTAGTCCACAATCATCTCCTTTGTCTTGGTCACGTTGAGGGAGAGGTTGTTGTCCTGGCACCACACGGCCAGATCTCTGACCTCCTCCCTATAGGCTGTCTCATCGTTGTCGGTGATCAGGCCTACCACTGTTGTGTCGTCGGCAAACTTAATGATGGTGTTGGAGTCGTGCCTGGCCATGCAGTCATGGGTGAACAGAGAGTACAGGAGGGGACTGAGCACACACCCCTGAGGGGCCCCCGTGTTGAGGATCAGTGTGGCAGATGTGTTGTTACCTACCCTTACCACCTGGGGGCGGCCCTTCAGGAAGTCCAGGATCCAGTTGCAGAGGGAGGTGTTTAGTCCCAGGATCCTTAGCTTAGTGATGAGCTTAGAGGGCACTATGGTGTTGAATGCTGAGCTGTAGTCAATTAATAGCATTCTCACGTAGGTGTTCCTCTTGTCCAGGTGGGAAAGGGCAGTGTGGAGTGCGATAGAGATTGCATCATCTGTGGATCTGTTGGGGCGGTATGCAAATTGGAGTGGGTCTAGGGTTTCTGGGATAATGCTGTTGATGTGAGCCATGACCAGCCTTTCAAAGCACTTCATGGCTACAGACGTCAGTGCTACGGGTCGGTAGTCATTTAGGCAGGTTATCTTAGAGTCCTTGGGCACGGGGACTATGGTGGTCTGCTTGAAACATGTTGGTATTACAGACTCAGTCAGGGACATGTTGAAAATGTCAGTGAAGACACTTGCCAGTTGGTCAGCACATGCTCGGAGTACACGTCCTGGTAATCCGTCTGGCCCTGCGGCCTTGGGAATGTTGACCTGCTTAAAAGTCTTACTCACATCGGCTACGGAGAGCGTGATCACATAGTCATCCGGAACAGCTGGTGCTCTCATGCATGCTTCAGTGTTGCTTGCCTCGAAGCGAGCATAGAAGTGGTTTAGCTCGTCTGGTAGGCTTGTGTCACTGGGCAGCTCGCGGCTGTGCTTCCCTTTGTAGTCTGTAATAGTTTTCAAGCCCTGCAACATCCGAAGAGCGTCAGAGCCAGTGTAGTATGATTCAATCTTAGACCTGTATTGACTCTTTGCCTGTTTGATGGTTCGTCGGAGGTCATAGCGGGATTTCTTATAAGCGTCCGGGTTAGAGTCCCGTTCCTTGAAAGCGGCAGCTCTACCCTTTAGCTCAGTGCGGATGTTTCCTGTAATCCATGGCTTCTGGTTGGGGTATGTACGTACGGTCACTGTGGGGACGACATCATCGATGCACTTATTGATGAAGCCAGTGACTGATGTGGTGTACTCCTCAATGCTGTCTGAAGAATCCCGGAACATGTTCCAGTCTGTGCTAGCAAAACAGTCCTGTAGCTTAGCATCTGCGTCATCTGACCACTTTTTTATTAACCGAGTCACTGGTGCTTCCTGCTTTAGTTTTTGCTTATAAGCAGGAATCAGGAGGATAGAGTTATGGTCAGATTTGCCAAATGGAGGGCGAGGGAGAGCTTTGTATGCATCTCTGTGTGTGGAGTAAAGGTGGTCTAGAGTTTTTTTCCCTCTGGTTGCACATTTAACATGCTGGTAGAAATTAGGTAGAACGGATTTAAGTTTCCCTGCATTAAAGTCCCCGGCCACTAGGAGCGCTGCATCTGGATGAGCGTTTTCCTGTTGATTAATGGCCTTGTACAACTCATTCAGTGCAATCTTAATGCCAGCATTGGTTTGTGGTGGTAAATAGATAGCTATGAAAAATATAGATGAAAACTCTCTTGGTAAATAGTGTGGTCTACAGCTTATCATAAGATACTCTACCTCAGGTGAGCAAAACCTCGAGACTTCCTTAGTATTTGATTTTGTGCACCAGCTGTTGTTTACAAATATACACAGACCGCCACCCCTTGTCTTACCGGAGTCGGCCGTTCTGTCCTGCCGATGTAGCGTATAGCCCGCTAGCTGAATGTTATCATTGTTGTCGTTCAGCCACGACTCCGTGAAACATAAGATATTACAGTTTTTAATGTCCCGTTGGTAGGATAACCGTAATCTTAAATCGTCCACTTTATTTTCAAAAGATTGAACGTTGGCTAATAGGATTGATGGAAGAGGCAGTTTACTCGCTCGCCGTCGGATCCTTACAAGGCACCCCGATCTTCGTCCGCGATATCTCCGTCTCTTCCTCACGCGAATGACGGGGATTTGGGCCTTGTCGGGTGTCTGTATGATATCCTTCGCGGCCGCCTCGTTGAAGAAAAAATCTTCGTCCAATACGAGGTGAGTAATCGCTGTCCTGATATCCAGAAGCTCTTTTTGGTTATAAGAGACGATGGCAGAAACATTATGTACAAAATAAATTACAAATAACGCGGAAAAACACACATAATAGTACAATTGGTTAGAGGGCTGTAAAACGGCAGCCATCTTCTCCGGCGCTGTTCTGTGACATGACAATGGGGAAAACCGACATCAAGGCTATGAAGGTGATTACACCTGTTGATATAGTACAAAATAGTAATCCTTTAACTAAAGTATTGCTAGGTTATCCGGCAAATGAAACAAAAGTTGCCCTTCATTCTCAAACAAAAACTGATAAAAGATTCCAGCGATAAGATAAACAAAGGTATAGAGAAAAGGCTAAAGGAAGAGAAGGCGACAGAAAAACTAATGGCAGAAGTTAGTACACCTTTCTCACATACGGATTCAGCAAAAAGACCCCCACCTTATGAGAATGAAGTAGAGCTTAGGGATGTTTATCCTCAGCTTCCAGTGATCATCCAGGAGGGTGATTATTGCATCAGAGATGAAGATGAACGAATAATAGATAGAGGACAAGCAGAAACGACCAGAAAGATGAATCCAAAACTCCAGAAGTAAGAAAAACCGAGATGTCTGGAAACTAAGAGAAGAATACAGTGAGGCCAAGGAAAAACGCCACTAGTAAGAAGATGATGGAAGATGATATTTCGAGGACAGAACTTAGAATATAAGCTGTTGAAGAATCCTGATATGTCAACAACAAGAAAGAACAGGACGAAGAAACTCTCAGAAAACTCAATCAAATACAACTGGTGAGAAGGAGAAGAGAAGCTTTGGTTATGAAGAATCAGGGTGAACCAAATCAACAATCACTGCTACAGCTTCAACTGAACAAGGTCAAATGCAATTGTACCAGCCACCAAGGACGGTACCAGTTGTTTCATATCCACAGCCAGTTTCTGGACAGACACAGAGTTGGAGAGGAAGAGGACGAGAAGGCTTAGAAGGAGGAGGAAGATTTCAGCTACACTTCCAGCAATCTCCAGAAGACTGTTATAATTATGGACAGGTTGGTTACTTTACCTGTGATTGCAATGCGCCAGGAGGAAACAACAGAGGACATTTCTGAGGAAGATAAAGGAGCAAGTGAAGATCACCTGTTCTCTAGGTGAACCCTTCAAGGATTCTAGAGTGCCTAGAAGATACGAAGGGGGGTGTCAGCTGATAGCATCGATTAGAGAAGAAGAGAAAATATCTAACAATTGAAGTAAAAACAAAGGACTAGGAGAGGTGAATAGTGGAAAAGCTTTTATCTGTGTTCAGCCTAAAGAGGTTAAACATCTCACTATGTAAAATTAACTAATTTGGATAGGGATTTGAGGTAGTAAAACAGTTAATTACTCTTAAGGAACCAATTGAGCTCTTCTATAAAAAATCAAAGAGAAATTAAAATAGACATACTAATATTAGAACATATACCTATTGCATTGTTGGGAAGAGATGCATTGTGTAAATTGAACTGTACAATAAGATGTACACTAAACGGCTGTCTGGTAGAATATTTTAAAAGAGTAGGGTTTTTGGGAATCTATTAGACTGCCTATTAGACAATCTGTCTGAAAAATAAAGTTAAAAGGGGTGATTTATTCTGGGTTACATTCCTACACCAAGAGATTTCAGGCTGGGCTAAAAGATGTTTAGTCGTTTGCCAAGTCTGTGTGTAAAGAAGTCAGAAGCAGGTGGGGACTTCCCGATCACATATTCTAAAATTTGGTGGTAAAGGATTTTGTGAATAAATCAGTGGAAAAGGTTTAAAGGTTAGGAGAAAAGATTAGATTAAAAAGTTAAGAAAAACTAGGAGAGTAAGCTAAGTTTCAAAGTTAGTAGTAAGAGAGAGAGAACAGTGGTGAAGGACATTTTAGAGTTTAGTGGGAAGATAGATATGGTAGGAGTTTAGATCTGTTAGGAGCAGATGCATTGAGAAAGTATGCGTTGCTGAATGATAAGAGAAGATTGAGGGTGATTGGGTATCTATATTTACAATTCCCAGCAGGAAGATCAAGGTAATTGTGGGTGTATTTTTATAATCAAAAGTTTGAAAGTGAGGGTTTAGAGTAGGAAGAGAGAGTGAATGTAGTGACACTAGTGGTGATGGATGGAAGTACAAGTAAAGAGTTCAAAGCTTTGGGGAAACTAGATGAAGTAACAATAAGGACATCAACACTTCAGTATATTATAACAACAGTGAGAAGCAATTTAACTCTTTCAACATTGATAGTTATTAAAGCCATAAATATATCGCATTTGATTATAAGGGAACCAATAGCTCCAGCACCAATTTTAGGGGGAAAAAGACTGTTGTTAGGGTTAGGATGGTGACGTTCCTCCCACATGGAGAGATAATTATGGAGAAGAAGTATTGTTATCAGGACCAGAAGTAGAAGCTGTTGCACCTAGTCAAAGGAAGTATAGTTTGTACAACGATATGAAGTGGAAGAGGGTTATGAGTGATTGTTCATTTATTTTGCGTAATGTTACAGAGAAAGATCAGGGAGAATATATGTGTACTTATCTAGTGCAAGCATTAAAATTTGTTCCGGTTAAGAATTATTGGTTAAAAGGCTATGTAATTCGTAAAGTGACGCTTATAATGGAAGAGTTGAAGTCTGTTGAAGCTTCCACAGTCACCAAAGGAGTTCAGGAGAAGTATATTACAGTAGCCACTCCAACAGTAAATAATACACAGAGGATATTGGTAGCTTTCCCACTAGAAGTAGTTAAGGGTGTTAATACATCAACTAAATCAACTACTTTAATGGTAACTTTGGAAGGGATTAATGATGCGACGGCAATAACAAATGTAGGAAGTATGACACCGACACCGACAACAACTTTTCTGAAATTAAAGGGGGTAGCAAGAGGGACTCAGGGGTTTATGGTACGGATAGAGAGTGCTGTCAATGATAGTAAGGATAGGGTTAAAATAGGAGAGCAGATGGTGGTAGAGAAGAATATAGATTCATCTGAAATAGTGAAGGATACTATCATGGAGGTACAGGATGAGGTCTTTGATTTTAATGACAGACAAGGAGAGGTATCTGATCAGTACCGCTCGTTAGGGAAGAGAGAAACTAAATGGGAGGCATATGGGTTTGATTCTTCTGTTGTGAAAATTAAAGATGGATGGGCAGGTAGGAATCTTTGGTTCCAGCAGCTAGCTCATTCTGTAAGATCAGGGAGGAATCTTGAGGGTCCATGTCTGTTGAGAATTCCAGCACCAGACACGTGGGGTTCGACCTCTATCGAGTATGTGTCAATCTTATGCTTTGTCATGGCTGTTGTATCAGCAACAATCATTAACAGATAAAATAATGTCGTTGTCAAAACATTTGTTTAAGCCTAGGTTTAAGTGCTCTTGGTTAAATGAATTACCCTATGTGAATTTGTTAGATGGGAAGGAAAATCAGGTAACAGCGAACCCTGAAGCATTGGAGGTGAAACCAGTGAGGGCTAAAAGTTGGTTTTGTTCTAATAAAATATATGATGTAAGGGGTATGTTTATGGGAATATCAGATTGTGATGATTATATGATGACTTTGGGTAAGCATTAACATAAGGTTAGTAATGAGAAATATAATGTTACTTTTTATGTTCCAGTTAGTAAGAAGAGCAGGACTTTGATGGTGAAAGATCAGCTTTTGCCTGGCAATGTGACTATTGGGAATTTTAGAGATATTTGGAGGGTTTGTGGTGATAAAGCGTATATATTCTTACCCTATGGATGGACAGGATGTTGTTACATGTCAACGTTGAAGCTTCCATATGAGGCTTTTACCATTAAAAGAGGGGTAGCACCGTACACAGATAAATCTGAATCTAGGTTTGGAAGTAGGGTGAAAAGGGACATGGCGACATGTCATAGTCTTGAAGCCTATCATTGGAGGATAAGTCTAAGAGAGAAGGGGGGACTTTTTCCATGGTATGGTGTAACATTTTTGGCAGATCATATTGATAATATTACCTATACTTTGATTCCAGATAGTTATAGATGCATTGAAGAATATAAGGAATGCGTTTGGTAGATCTGAAGGAGCTGGATGGTCAGCAAAGACTTGGTTGCAAGATCAGTTAGGCCCAGTAGGAGCAGTGATGGATTAGATTTTAATGGCAGTTTTGATAGCACTGTGTGTGATGTTTGTAATTTGTTACTGACCTTTGAGAAAGCTATGATATTGAGATAGGTTGGAGTAGTGATGCCTGGAGACAACACTCAGATGCCGTTTTTGACTGTTCCTGATCTGGATGAAGAGGGACAAGTGGGACTGGATGGAGTATTGATGATAAATATCCTTTTAGATTTTTTGATCATTTTTCACATTTTTTTTCAATATTAGTGTGATTTTAGTATGATGTTATGAATCAAGGGGGGGAAGTGTATGAATGAATCACATTATCCTATTTCATTATTCTATCATTTATATTGATTCATACATCATTTATATATAATTTTTATATTCTTAGTTGATATTGATGTTTAAATTGAAAGTGTTGTTTTGCAAAAGATACTGTTTGGTCTTTTATTTTCTTCCAGAAGCATTTGGGGGAATATGTAGAGATTGAAATACTCAAACAAGGACAATATGAAGGGACAATATGAAAGGAGAATGACTGGAGGAGATGGAACAAGGAAGGGGTGGAAAGGTTCCGATTCCATCATCAACAATGCATTGGAAGAGGAGACTACGGAGGAGATGAAGTGTAGTGGACTACATTCCAGTGTCTGCAATGAAATATAGACATATTTGCATGTGTAATACATAATTTGTGTCATTTTCTTAGGTATTAATTGTTGTAGAATGATATTTGATGTTATTGGATACATGTGGGGATCTTAGATGTTTTTGTTTATTTCGTGAATGCTTAGGGACAGGGAGTCTAGGCAGGGATAGAGGTCCACGGTAGGGTCCGATGGGTTGACCAGCCTTAGTGTGGACATTTTGGATAGTATTTTGTTTGCAGGGGCTTTCATGTGTATTTCATTGCATCATAGTTTCAAATGCATTGATAAAGATTTATGAATTCATCGGGAGTACCTAGGTGGTTGCCTGGGGCAGAGGGACCGTGAGAGAATTTTACTGTCTTGATTGATGAATGGATTTTTGGAACGAAGGTTGCCAGACAGTTTTTCGCTCTCACGCTCCATAAAGATTTGTTCATATTTCATAGTAATATATTCACACTTCATTAAGATTTGTTCATATTTCATAGAAAGGTATTTACACTCTAGAGGAAAATGTTGTTGGTTTAAGGTTAAAGATACTCAATAAGATAAATTGTTACTTGTCATAATCCTATTCTGTTTGTTTTCGAGACTTTTAATTCGTCTCGAAGGGGGGATATGTAGTGTATTAAGATTATGACTTTCTTTATGGGTTTAAGTGGAACCTTTGAGGATGTTTATTTTAGTATCAAGAGGGAATGTTTTAGTGTAACGCCACATACAACAGACAGGAAGTGTGTGTTGTAGACAGGGGATTGGACAGTAGAGGGAGCCACCCACATCTTGGGAAGATTATATATACTGGGTAAAAAGTGAAGAAGAGGTTAGAGCAGACATTACAATTCGAGGACACTGCTCTCCGGGTGTCATGACATCCGTCACTTATGCTGAAATCTTGTGATATGAATAAAACTTATGATCAAAGGTTCAGTATGAGCGGACTCCTTTGTTTGACAGCAATGAGCACCAGCAGCGACAAGATACGACATTACAATTAGTATTAACCCTCCCGTTGTCCTAGGGTCAAAATGACCCGCCACTGTGTTGAACCAACTTTCTTTAATTTTTATATTTTTGGGATCATTTGTGAGAAGGAGGCAGTGAGACTTTAAAGAAAGTATCACTGCCTCCTTCTCACAAATGATCCACAAAATTGAAAGTTGGTTCAACTCAGTGGCGGGTCATTTTGACCCTAGGACAACGGGAGGGTTAACACTGGAATGATAGATGTGCAAGAGATGATGTGCAAATAGAGATACTGGGGTGCAAATGAGCAAAATAAATAACAATATAGGGATGAGGTAGTTGGGCGGGCTAATTTCAGATGGGCTGTGTACAGGTGCAGTGATCGGTAAGGTGCTCTGACAACTGATGCTTAAAGTTAGTGAGGGAGATAAGTGTCTCCAGCTTCAGAGATTTTTGCAATTTGTTCCAGTCATTGGCAGCAGAGAACTGGAAGGAATGGCGGCCAAAGGAGGTGTTGGCTTTGGGGATGACCAGTGAGATATACCTGCTGGAGCGCATACTACGGGTGGGTGTTGCTATGGTGACCAATGAGCTAAGATAAGGCGGGGATTTGCCTAGAAGTGATTTATAGATGGCCTGGAGCCAGTGGGTTTGGCGACGAATATGTAATGAGGACCAGCCAACAAGAGCGTACAGGTCACAGTGGTGGGTAGTATATGGGGCTTTGGAGACAAAACGGATGGCACTGTGATAGACTACATCCAATTTGCTGAGTAGAGTGTTGGAGGCTATTTTGTAAATTACATCGCCGAAGACAAGGATCGGTAGGATAGTCCGTTTTACGAGGGCATGTTTGGCAGCATGAGTGAAGGAGGCTTTGTTGCGAAATAGGAAGCCGATTCTAGATTTAACTTTGGATTGGAGATTCTTAATGTGAGTCTGGAAGGAGAGTTTACAGTCTAACCAGACACCTAGGTATTTGTAGTTGTCCACATACTCTAGGTCAGACCCGTCGAGAGTAGTGATTCTAGTCGGGTGGGCGGGTGCCAGCAGCGTTTGATTGAAGAGCATGCATTTAGTTTTACTAGTGTTTAAGAGCAGTTGGAGGCTACGGAAGGAGTGTTGTATGGCATTGAAGCTCGTTTGGAGGTTTGTTAACACAGTGTCCAATGAAGGGCCAGATGTATACAAAATGGTGTCGTCTGCGTAGAGGTGGATCTGAGAGTCACCAACAGCAAGAGCGACATCATTGATATACAGGGAGAAAAGAGTCGGCCCAAGAATTGAACCCTGTGGCACCCCCATAGAGACTGCCAGAGGTCCAGACAACAGGCCCTCCGATTTGACACATTGAACTCTATTTGAGAAGTAGTTGGTGAACCAGGCGAGGCAGTCATTTGAGAAACCAAGGCTATTTAGTCTGCCAATAAGAATGCGGTGGTTGACAGAGTCCAAAGCCTTGGCCAGGTCGATGAAGACGGCTGCACAGTACTGTCTATTATCGATCGCGGTTATAATATCGTTTAGGACCTTGAGCGTGGCTGAAGTGCACCCATGACCAGCTCGGAAACCGGATTGCATAGCGGAGAAGGTACGGTGGGATTCGAAATGGTCGGTGATCTGTTTGTTAACTTGGCTTTCAAATACTTTCGAAAGCAGGGCAGGATGGATATAGGTCTGTAACAGTTTGGATCTAGAGTGTCACCCCCTTTGAAGAGGGGGATGACCGCGGCAGCTTTCCAATCTCTGGGGATCTCAGATGTTACGAAAGAGAGGTTGAACAGGCTAGTAATAGGGGTTGCGACAATTTTGGCGGCTAGTTTTAGAAAGGGTCCAGATTGTCTAGCCCAGCTGATTTGTAGGGGTCCAGATTTTGCAGCTCTTTCAGAACATCAGCTGTCTGAATTTATGTGGAGGGTGCAGAGTTGGTGGCCGGGGTAGTGGTAGCCAGGTGGAAAGCATGGCCAGCCGTAGCAAAATGTTTGTTGAAATTCTCGATTATTGTAGATTTATCGGTGGTGATAGTGTTTCCTAGCCTCAGTGCAGTGGGCAGCTGGGAGGAAGTGCTCTTATTCTCCATGGACTTTACAGTGTCCCAAAACTTTTTGTAGTTAGTGCTACAGGATGCAAATTTCTGTTTGAAAATGTTAGCCTTTGCTTTCCTGACTGCTTGTGTATATTGGTTCCTAACTTCCCTGAAAAGTTGCATATCGCGGGGGCTATTTGATGCTAATGCAGTACAATGCCCTAGCAAAACCTACTTGAAGGTAACAGTGCTCACTGTTGCCCCTAGTGGCCAGTTTCCATGTAATCTCCCGACATCTTCAGACATGGATGGATGTTGAATACTGACTTGTATCAAGGGTGACATTCCTGAACTCTCTCTCCCATGTTCTCTCCTAGATCTATCCGCTGCCTTCGACATCGTGAACCATCAGATCCTCCTCTCCACCCTCTCAGGGCTGGTCATCTCAGGCTCTGCACACTCTTGGATTGCATCCTACCTGTCAGGCCGCTCTTACCAGGTGACGTGGAGAGGATCTGTGTCTGCACCACGTACTCTAACTACTGGTGTCCCCCAGGGCTCGATTCGAGGCCCTCTGCTCTTCTCTCTATACACCAAGTCACTCGGCTCCGTCATATCCTCACATGGTCTCTCCTATCATTGCTATGCGGATGACAGTCAACTACTTTTCTCCTTCCCCCTTCTGACACCCAGGTGGCGACACACATCTCTGCGTGCCTGGCAGATATCTCAGCTTGGATGGCGGCCCATCAGCTCAAGCCCAACCTCGACCAGACGGAGCTGCTCTTCCACACGGGGAGGCCTGCCCTCTTCAAGACCTCTCCATCACGGTTAAAAACTCCATGATGTCCCTTCCCAGAGTGCAAAGAACCTTGGCGTGACCCTGGACAACACTCTGTCATTCTCTGCAAACATCAAAGCAGTGACTCGCTCCTGCAGGTTCATGGTCTACAACGTCCATAGAGTACAACCCTGGGCAGCTCCTGCTCAGCCCAGTCAAAGCTCTTCTCTGTTCTGGCACTCCAATGGTGGAACCAGCTTCCCCCAGAAGCTAGGACAGCAGTCCCTTCCCATCTTCCGAAAAAAATCTGAAGCCCTACCTCTTCAAATTTCATATAGTATCCTAAATAATCCCAAAGCACCCCTCTAAATAAAACGTGCCTTTCGTAAACTAATACTTGCACGTTACTTCCCCCCCCCCGCTAGCACTAACTTTGCTGATAGCTATTTTACTGAGGAAAAATGTACTTAATATAGCCATGTTTCCATCTAGAGTTTTTATGCGAGTAAGTCATAGCATATAAAAAACAATCACGACAGCTGTGATGGAAACAGGAAGTTTCGGTACAATTTTATAAATGTTGACAGATAATTTGTTTGTTCGACATGGTGGGATGTTTTTGTTTCTGTCAAATTAATTCTGTGAGAAATGGCAGTGGAAATGCCTGCTTTATGCGCAAATATTGGTATAATAACCAAGTAAACTTGGAGTCACGCGATGACATGGTCCTCCCACTATGACTCGGCACCATGCAGTTTATTAGGCTACAGATGAAATAACTTATGATGAATTTCCCAGGGTGGTGATAAAAGTGCACAGTGATCTTGATGCTACTTTCCAATACATATTGAGGGTCTTATTCTGGTCACATGATGATCGATGCTATATGTGGTAGTTTAACATGAGAATTTAATGCACTGCGAAAGCAAATCCCTTTTTATAATTTTCCCTTGATTCAAGAGAGCTGGGTATACTGTAATAATGTGTTTTTCAAGCGTTGAACAAAGCACAGTAATCAACTAACACTTATAACAACAATTAAAATGGTTCCCTTCAAGTAATTACATTCTGTCTCACATAATGTCCTATGTTTACTCTCCTAGGTTAACGTCATCATACTGAGCACCCAGGTCCAGGGCAAGCGTGCGTTTGCCCGCCTGCTGCTGGCAGTCCGCATGGCCACCTGGAACCAGATCCTGGACCCCTGGGTCTACATCCTCCTGAGGAAGGCCATCCTCAAGAAGCTCTTCCTGCTGGTGCACAGCTGCTGGGGCACCAAGTCCCACTCCCACCCCCACACCCTTAACCATTGGAAGTGCAGCCCAGTGAAGGGCTCTGGGGAGACCAGCGGCACCTCCATCAGCACTAAGCCAGACTTCTTCTCCTTGGATAGAAATGTTGGAGGCCTACCAGACACAATATTGTACTATACATTCATGAGGCGTACAGACACTGGCATGTTGGTCACCACTGACAGTGACACACACTTAATGGCTGGACCTAGATTGACCCCTGAGTTAGCCCTATTGATTGTTGTTTCTAGCTAACCTATTACAGTACCGTACTACCTAACCTTGAAAGGATGAACTCTGCAATCAGCACTAGCTGTCAATGTTGTCTTCTTGAGTCTTCTCTGTGACAATCAATCAATCAATCAATCAATTTTATTTTATATAGCCCTTCTTACATCAGCTAATATCTCGAAGTGCTGTACAGAAACCCAGCCTAAAACCCCAAACAGCTAGTAATGCAGGTGTAGAAGCACGGTGGCTAGGAAAAACTCCCTAGAAAGGCAAAACCTAGGAAGAAACCTAGAGAGGAACCAGGCTATGAGGGGTGGCCAGTCCTCTTCTGGCTGTGCCGGGTGGAGATTATAACAGAACCATGCCAAGATGTTCAAAAATGTTCATAAGTGACAAGCATGGTCAAATAATAATCAGGAATAAATCTCAGTTGGCTTTTCATAGCCGATCATTAGAGTTTAAAACAGCAGGTCTGGGACAGGTAGGGGTTCCATAACCGCAGGCAGAACAGTTTAAACTGGAATAGCAGCAAGGCCAGGCGGACTGGGGATAGCAAGGAGTCACCACGGCCGGTAGTCCCGACGTATGGTCCTAGGGCTCAGGTCTCTCAGTTGGCTTTTCATAGCCGATCATTTAGAGTTGAAAACAGCAGGTCTGGGACAGGTAGGGGTTTCGTAGCCGCAGGCAGAACAGTTGAAACTGGAATAGCAGCAAGGCCAGGCGGACTGGGGGCAGCAGGGTGTCATCATGCCCGGTAGTCCTGACGTATGGTCCTAGGGCTCAGGTTCTCAGAGAGAAAGAGAGAACGAGAGAATTAGAGAGAGCATACTTAAATTCACACAGGACACTGGATAAGACAGGAGAAGTACTCCAGGTATAACCAACTAACCCCAGCCCCCCGACACATAAACTACTGCAGCATAAATACTGGAGGCTGAGACAGGAGCGGTCCGGAGACACTGTGGCCCCATCCGAAGAAACCCCCGGACAGGGCCAAACAGGAAGGATATAACCCCACCCACTCCGCCAAAGCACAGCCCCCGCACCACTAGAGGGATATCCCCAACCACCAACTTACAATCCTGAGACAAGGCCGAGTATAGCCCACAGAGGTCTCCACCACAGCACAAACCAAGGGGGGGGGGGGCGCCAACCCAGACAGGAAGATCACGTCAGTAACTCAACCCACTCAAGTGACGCACCCCTCCCAGGGACGGCATGAAAGAGCACCAGCAGGCCAGTGACTCAGCCCCTGCAACAGGGTTAGAGGCAGAGAACCCCAGTGGAGAGGGGAACCGGCCTGGCAGAGACAGCAAGGGCTGTTCGTTGCTCCAGCCTTTCCGTTCACCTTCACACTCCTGGGCCAGACTACACTCAATCATATGACCTACTGAAGAGATAAGTCTTCAGTAAAGACTTAAAGGTTGAGACCGAGTCTGCGTCTCTCACATGGGTAGGCAGACTGTTCCATAAAAATGGAGATCTATAGGAGAAAGCCCTGCCTCCCGCTGTTTGCTTAGAAATTCTAGGGACAATTAGGAGGCCTGCGTCTTGTGACCGTAGCGTACGTATTGGTATGTACGGCAGGACCAACTCGGAAAGATAGGTAGGAGCAAGCCCATGTAACGCTTTATAGGTTAACAGTAAAACCTTGAAATCAGCCCTTGCCTTAACAGGAAGCCAGTGTAGGGAAGCTAGCACTGGAGTAATATGATCAAATTTCTTGGTTCTAGTCAGGATTCTAGCAGCCGTATTTAGCACTAACTGAAGTTTATTTAGTGCTTTATCCGGGTAGCCGGAAAATAGAGCATTGCAGTAGTCTAATCTAGAAGTAACAAATGCATGGATTAATTTTTCTGCATCATTTTTGGACAGAAAATTTCTGATTTTTGCAATGTTACGTAGATGGAAAAAAGCTGTCCTTGAAACAGTCTTGATATGTTCGTCAAAAGAGAGATCAGGGTCAAGAGTAACGCCTAGGTCCTTCACAGTTTTATTTGAGACGACTTTACAACCATCAAGATGAATTGTCAGATTTAACAGAAGATCTCTTTGTTTCTTGGGACCTAGAACAAGCATCTCTGTTTTGTCCGAGTTTAAAAGTAAAAAGTTTTCAGCCATCCACTTCCTTATGTCTGAAACACAGGCTTCTAGCGAGGGCAATTTTGGGGCTTCACCATGCTTCATTGAAATGTACAGCTGTGTGTCATCCGCATAGCAGTGAAAGTTAACATTATGTTTTAGAATAACATCCCCAAGAGGTAAAATATATAGTGAAAACAATAGTGGTCCTAAAACGGAACCTTGAGGAACACCGAAATGTACAGTTGATTTGTCGGAGGACAGACCATTCACAGAGACAAACTGATATCTTTCCGACAGGTAGGATCTAAACCAGGCCAGAACTTGTCCGTGTAGACCAATTTGGGTTTCCAGTCTCTCCAAAAGAATGTGGTGATCGATGGTGTCAAAGGCAGCACTAAGGTCTAGTAGCACGAGGACAGATGCAGAGCCTCGGTCTGACGCCATTAAAAGGTCATTTACCACCTTCACAAGTGCAGTCTCAGTGCTATGATGGGGTCTAAAACCAGACTGAAGCATTTCGTATACATTGTTTGTCTTCAGAAAGGCAGTGAGTTGCTGCGCAACAGCTTTTTCTAAAATTTTTGAGAGGAATGGAAGATTCGATATTGGCCGATAGTTTTTTATATTTTCCGGGTCAAGGTTTGGCTTTTTCAAGAGAGGCTTTATCACTGCCACTTTTAGTGAGTTTGGTACACATCCGGTGGATAGAGAGCTGTTTATTATGTTCAACATAGGAGGGCCAAGCACAGGAAGCAGCTCCTTCAGCAGTTTAGTAGGAATAGGATCCAGTATGCAGCTTGAAGGTTTAGAGGCCATGATTATTTTCATCATTGTGTCAAGAGATATAGTACTAAAACACTTAAGTGTCTCTCCCGATCCCAGGCCCTCGCAGAGCTGTGCAGATCCAGGACAGCTAAGCCCTGGAGGAATACGCAGATTCAAAGAGGAGTCCGTAATTTGCTTTCTAATGGTCATGATCTTTTCCTCAAAGAAGTTCATGAATTTATCACTGCTGAAGTGAAAACCATCCTCTCTTGGGGAATGCTGCTTTTTAGTTAGCTTTGCAACAGTATCAAAAATAAATTTTGGATTGTTCTTATTTTCCTCGATTAATTTGGAAAAGTAGGATGATCGAGCAGCAGTGAGGGCTCTTCGGTACTGCACGGTACTGTCCTATGCCCCCTATGGCTTTTAAACCCAGCTGCTCTAGAGCTCATCACAGTGCTCGAAACATGTGCAGAATTGTTTTCAGCTCCCCATCAGTCAGTGAGTGAGTGCCAGGCAATCTGAAATATCGCCTCAGCAGGTGTTCCTCTGGTAAAATTAATTGTTCTGTTGTTTCACTGGTGCTGTTGTGTCTGGCATATGAAAAATTAGTTTTTGACACATTTTGGATTCATGTGTCTCTGTTCTAAGTGAGAGCCCTTTTTATCCACAGGTTTTCTAGATTAAAACATTTTCTGAAGTCATTCGTCATTCTCTCATCGTGGGTGTTCAGACTGCTCACCATTCACAGCACAGTAACTCTGTTTATTGCCATTTATGTTCAAACTGTGAATGTGAAGGCTTTTGGATGCAAGGCCAGGTGTGTCAAACTCATTTTGCCCCGGGGCCGCATTCGGTCTGGATGGGCAGCAATGAAAACTGATTAGATTTCCTCATCACAATTTGCAAGAAATAGTCCTTTATCCATAGTTTTTGGGATTGTCGATGGTCCCTGATTGTCTAGCTTTTATTTAGGTGATTATTAGCAAGCTGGACACAATCAAGAAACTGTATGAATGTAGGTCCGTTCTCATTTCTACACAGTTTCGATTTGGTTTTAGTCATTTTAAAGTATATCGAGTTCGTTTTTAAACATAAAAAAATATATATATAACATTTACTGAGTGTTGCCTTTGTAGGGCAGCATAGCCTAGGCCAGGGGTGTCAAACATACGGACCCCCTCGCGTATGTTTGACACCCCTGGCCTAGGCTATGCTGCCCTACAAAGGCTAAATTCAGTAACTACACCAACAGTGAAACTGGGAAAATGGCTTGAAAGTTGTTTTTACTAGCCAGCCAAAGATGTGTTAGGTTGATAAGTGAAAATGCAATGATGCTATTATTAAGTAATATTGAATGCATTTCAACCATGAGCACTGATTTGACCTATGCCCCCTAAAATGCAGATACTGCACTCTGCCTTTGTATGACCTGAAACACCCATATGGGTAATGCAAAGGCAAAGTGCAGTATGTACAATCTAAATCTGTTTACACAACTTTCTTGTTGTTTTTCAGTTTGAGAGTTGTAACTACATTCCTACTGTATTTAATGGTTTTATGTAGTTATGTTTTCGTATTTTTAATGATGTATTGTAACAACCCTCAAGTATATTTTTCGCCATAAGGTAAGGACTATTTCATCAAGCAGAATGTTTATACTTTAAAAACATATTTAACTTTGCGCAGTAACTACAATCTAAATGTGTTTATCCAACTTTCCTGTTTGTTTTTCTGTTTGACTTCATATGGTCATTTATTTGACTTAGGTCAAATTGGTGGTCATGGTTGATATGCATAAAAAAATCACTTCATAATAAGATAATGCATCAATGCATTATAATTTATCTTCCTACAACATATTTGTCTGGACAGCAAATAAAAGTTAAAGCCATTTTCCTCAGTTTCACTGTGCATAGTTACTGCTCTTTGCCTTTATATGGCAGAGCGGGTAACTGCAGTCAAAACATGGTGGAACAAAGCCATAGTCCCATGGATTTTGTAGTTACTGCAAATTTCACACTCCATTTTCTCTGAAACTGAACTTAATTAAACCAGGACACTTTGTCACAAGATAAAACAGATACTACAAAGCCTAATTTCAGTCTTAACTAAATTTTGACCGAAAGTGCAGTTACTGCATTTTCCCTTGTAGGGCAGTATGGGGAAAGTCTAAACCGAATCCTTGGGATGTCCCAACTCTCACGTCACCCCACTGAAGTTGAAATTTAAAATGGTTAAGGTAAGGGTTAGGTAAGTGTTATTATGGTTAAGGGTAGAGGTTAAGATTAGGGTTTAGGGTAGGGATGTCCCAAGGATCCCCGATAGCACTAACCCTAGGCTATGTAGCCTCGTAATTGCCAGACTGATTACCGCTGCACGTGTAGCAAGTTTCAAGGTGTATTAGTCGTATGTAGAGGATACACATGGTATACATCGTCCAACAAAATGCTTACTTGCAGGTTCCTTCTCGACAATGCAACAACAATAAGAAATAATAAAAGATAAGAATACGAACATAAAGTAAATGGTTCAGTAGAATAGAATAGACATTTTAGCATAAGTAGAAACAGGAAGGCACAATTTATAGTACAATATTTACATACGTATCATTGGGGGGCAAATGTTTAAATTGTGCAGTATTAGCAATAGTAAATAAGAGTCTGGTAGCAGCAGTTGTGTGTGTGTATGTCTGTCTGTCTGGGTGTGTGCATGTGTGCTAAGGTGTGGAGAGTCAGTGCAGGTGGTCAGTGTAGTTCGAGTGTCCAGTAGTCTGATGGCTTGTAGATAGAAGCTGTCTCTGAGCCTGTTGGTATCAGAACTAATGTTCCGATAGCATCTGCCCGACAGTAAGGGAGTGAACAGCTGGTGGCTGGGGTGTGTGGGGTCCTTGATGATGTCTTGGATGTCTTGGTTATAGGCTATGCTGACAGGTGATACAAGTTATTAAGTTCAAATTAATTTGCAGTGATGGATAGGTGATGTGGGATATTGTTTATACAGAGACTTGTTAGAATAGTTCTGTTTTATTGCATTTCAACAAAGAAAACTTATCAAAATGTTGTCTCAGACTGTTCCCCTTTATACCACCCCTGTACGGTAGGGGGATTCATTAAGGTTCTATGATACCACGGAAGAAGATATTAGTCATATGGTAAGTTACGTCATTTCTTGCTCATAGTCATCCTCCATTTTTCGCTGCCGCATGCTTCCTAGGATATCTTCGGATCAGGTCTGGTATATCGTTTTTATGTAAATATAAGCGGTGTTATGGTCTACAATTACGTGTGTGTTTGATAGTTGACCGGGACTGAAGTATTTTAGACGAAAAGGGGCGATGACACTTCATGTGATACCCAGCAAGTCCACTACATTAGCTTGCTAGACAGTCTGTCTGGTTAACGTTAGCCTGGCTAGCTATATCTAGCAATTTGGTTATATCGCGTCAGCGACAGACACCATATATTTTGTGAAATATGTCGCACGTGGATAAAAGTCGTTTTGAAATTGCATGTTCGCTACTTAATGTTCACCGTAGTTAGTTAACCCCCCGTCCCCGTCCCGTAAAATGTGGTTAGCTAGCTAGATAACGGGTTCATAACTTCACATAGTAAGTTAGCTAGCAGCTAACCCCTCCACTCAGATTGTCTGAAACTGGTCATCTATGGAACAAATTGTTTTACTAATAGTTGATGATTGATAAGTTGCCAACCCATATTGACTGCCTCCTATTGAAAACAGATCAGTTGCAAGTTGTCATGTTTTACTCTAACTCATAACCCCTCTTGTCATTTTTCCAGGTAACAACATGAACCAAGAAAAATTAGCGAAACTTCAAGCCCAGGTCCGGATAGGAGGAAAGGTAATAGAATTCTCAATCTTTAGTGATGGTTACTTCCATTGAGCTGGACAGCAACGGTGTTCAATTAAACGAAAACGGTGCTGTTCAGAACGACCAATTGAAGAATGTGATTATGGAGGCAGGAGTGTTTCGATTTCAAATGCTCACACACCCATATTGATCAGGCCACACCCAAAAGTGTGCACGGTTTTGGTGAAACGTGTCGTTCCGTATAAACAGTCATGCAACATAGAAAAACGTTTAATAAACTGAACACACCTCTGATTTAGAGACTATGGGCTACACTAGGTAAATTCAAGTCTGAGCCTCGAAGCATCAAGTTCCACTGACTTTTCATTCTTCCCCTCTAATGAAGGACTGATTTAGACCTGAGACACCAGGGGTGTGTTCTGTTCAACGTTTGCTACATTACGTGACGGTTTGTACTAAACGACACATTCCCCCAAAGCATTGAGCACAGTCTTCAACAGCCTTTGAGGTATATTTGCTCCTGTTTGGTGGTTGTGGTGAGGTGTGGCCTTTTTATAGATGTGACCATTTTAATATCGCGAAACTTGTTCAGCACACCATACACAATCGCCCTCTGGGACCTCCAGACTCGGATTTGAATACCCCTGGGCTACACCATGAGACACACACACGCCATCGAAGGAAATATGGACACATGGCGTGTCCAAACACTGTCCCAGTTGAGAACCACTGTGTTGGCTGTCTTAGTTGTTTGACATTGTAAGCCCCGAGAGAGACCTGTGATTTTTTTAAATTGGGCTTAATTATTTGGGACTTTCGGCCTGATACAAATCACCAGACTGAGGTCTCAGAGGACTGGATACACCTCTGCTGTATTTAACTCTATTGATGTACGTTCTTACATCTCCCTGTATTGTTTTTAGGGCTCGGCACGTAGGAAGAAGAAGGTCGTACACAGAACGGCAACAGCCGATGACAAAAAACTTCAGAGTTCGCTAAAGAAATTAGCTGTCAACAACATTGCTGGTATTGAAGAGGTAAGCAACAGCAACCATTATACACGTCTTTGCATTTCATAGATAATGTATTGTAACACATGCATTGCATGTTTCATATATATTTCCTCCCTACTTTGTGACTCCTGTCTCCATTTTATAGATGCATTTGAATGAAACAACTGCAATGCTGAACTCTTGCATGGGCTGCAGTCTTTTATGTCAGTCACTTTGGGCACCAAACTAGGAGTAGAATTTTAAGTAAGCGAAACCCCCACCTGCTCTGTCACTAGGTAAACATGATCAAAGATGACGGCACAGTGATCCACTTCAACAACCCCAAAGTGCAGGCGTCTCTGTCGGCCAACACCTTCGCTATCACCGGCCACGCCGAGACTAAGCAGCTCACAGAGATGCTCCCGGGCATCCTCAGCCAGCTGGGCGCCGACAGCCTCACCAGCCTGCGCAAACTGGCAGAGCAGTTCCCTCGGCAAGGTGGGTTGGCAGATGCAGTAGGCTAGGGTGTATTTACGAGGAACCAAACTCGAAAAAACGGGGAGGGACCTACCTGAATTTGTCCAAAATAAACTCTTGTTTTAGTTGAAAAACTGTTTCTGTTGCAAAAAAAACTGTTTTGCTACCGTTTTCTGCGGTGTGCACTAATGGATAGACCCCTGGGAAATATTCTGCAACCTGAGACCCGAAGAGCGTCTTGATGCTTATTGCGTACAATTTGTTGTCTTGTTTCAGTGCTCGACAACAAAGCCCCTAAAGCAGAAGATATTGAAGAAGAAGAAGAAGATGATGACGTCCCAGGTGAGGATGATTCCGTATGAGACTTCAGAGGAAACATCACATAATTTCAACCTGTAAAACCATCCTTTGTGTTCCTCTCTCCCCTTCTCTTCAGACCTGGTGGAGAATTTTGACGAAGCATCAAAGAACGAGGCAAACTGATTGATCTTCCCCTCAAGAACCGATACAAGGATTGGAACTGCAATTTAAGAAAAGGAGACTTCTCCGGTGTTTTACTTCTAGCTACGAAGACGTATCATTTCAAACACTATCCTGTCAACCAGAGACTTTTGTATTTTGAAATGACCCACGGATGCAGTCCTTATCAGACTGGCTTGGGCACTTAAACTCCCAACAAATTGGCCAACGCTTCAGTACTCTTCACCACATTGTCAGTCTCGATCAGGATTGCGGTCATTAATTAAAGCTGGTCTTCAGTTTTTTTTGTTTGTTTATGAAACAAAATAAAGGTGATTTAACATTTTCTACATGGTGCTGTGGTCATTCTAGCTGTTGAAAGGGGGTATTTCGTTTTTTGGAAACTACAGTTTTCACAATGTCTGCCACCCTGGTTCATTATTGTTGTATCAAGATGCATAACTATTTTGTCACTGTATATTTAAATTCAAGCATGTGTTGCCTTAAACTCAAGTAATCCATTCAACTCCAGCGTCAGGCCTTGCAGCGGATATCGGACTGACTTGGATGATATCACTGGTCAAAGATAATGGTTATAAGGACTTTCGTGGTTCAGAGGTGGTTGTATTTTTAGACAAATGTTTTCTGAGTTTTCATGTACACATGACTTGTATTATGATGTAACACTAACCACTGGGATAAATATTTTTATCATGAGTCATTATGTGCAGTAGACAGATTTTTGCCTAGAAATTAGAGCAAGATTTCGATAAAATGAAACCTGTTCTAAACGGGCTCTACATTGTACACTGGTTAAGGAAAGGACATTTGAGGACATCCTTGAGTTCATTCAAGAAGACCTGCAGTGTAGCGGGGGTGGGGGGAATAGGGGGTGGGGGGAATAGGGGGTGGGGGGAATAGGGGGTGGGGGGAATAGGGGGTGGGGGGAATAGAGGGAGGGAAATCCTTCCTCCGATAGTGAGCAAGACTGTGTTTTACTTATTTTCTTCGCCACTGTTACAAAATGTTGAAGTTCTTCAGTGCCAGGGACGATGAGAATGAAAGCCTCTTGGGTGCATTGACAGACGGTAAGGTTTTTAATTATATTGTATACAGATGCAAGATTATGTATTTCTATCAGGGGAAATTGTAGCTGATCTGCAATCATGCGTCTTGTCGCTCGCGACGCATTCATAGAACGACAGATCGAAGCACACATGATAATATTCCTTCAACCTATATGAATTACTGGAAAAATACGACTATTTATGGAAATAGCGTGATAAATAGAATATTGCTGCGAAATTACTCTGGAGCTATTAATGAATCGAGATGGGCACCAAATGTCGCATTGGCGTGTTCGCTGGTTGAGAGGGGATTTAAACAGTTGCACGTGTGCTGGCTGCTACTGCGTCACAGTCCGGCAAACGCTCAGTCAGCTGAATAGGTTGGGCCCTATTGCTGTTTAGTAATCGTCAGCATGAATGGAAGGGTTGGGGTGCAATAACGGGGTTGAAGCTGCAATGCAGTTTTAACCTGAAAAGAATTCACCAACGGCCAATAAAGGCAAAGTGAAATTGTGCAGTAGAGGCAATAACCAACTGAGGAGAGATCACAGCACATCCCCAAATCTGAACTATGAATCAGATTTTCTTTCTCACGGTCATAATATTTTGGCACATTTCAGTCGATAGTGAAGTAGAATATTTAAACAATATAGAATTAAATTAATATTGTCTTAATTTGTGTTATTGACATTATCCATTCATTATCTTGTCATTAGGCTTATAATTATTTGTATACACCTTGATTCATAATGTATAATACTAATTCTGCGACTGTTGCCTGCATAGCCACAGGAAGTAGGGGTGCTGAGGGTGCTGCAGCACTCCCTGAAAAATAATAATAAAAACAATATATAGATATTATTTTCTCACAAAAGTAGTGCACTGGGCCTTTACTAGTATTAGCGGACCAATATAGACATATGTAGCGCTGGCAATTCTTTTTCTTCCAGTAGTTGTATAATTGAGAACAGTATCTTGAGGATTCAATAGTTAGAATTGTAAGAGTTGTTGCCCTGTCCCTTTCTCTGCAATTGTCATTTTAATGGAATCTATAAAGAACAAAACCCTGTCCTCAAACATTTACATTAAAAGGTGCAAAACTATGGGCAAAGACACAAAACATCCACATCAAATTAAATATTTTTGTTGATCAAATAACATGGAAAATAACCACTTTTTGTGCAGTATTAATTTACCATCCTTACAAACCACTTAATGTAAATGTAGATTACTGTATTGTACATAGGCTGGTCATCTAGGGTTGTACCATCCCCATGAAGAAAAACACTGCACAATACAGTAATTGAGTACATTGAGACATCAAGTGGTTTGTGATGAAATGATGATGTGGCTCTGTTGGTAGTGCATGGCGCTTGCAATGGTAGGGTTGTGGGTTCGATTCCCACGGGGGACCAGTATGACAATGTATGCACACACTACTGTAAGTTGCTCTGGATAAGAGCATCTACTAAAATGGAAAAGGAATGAATAGATCATTTCAGTTTTCACATAGAAATAAGTTGCATTTGCAAAGTATTTCAAGAAACTGGAAAACATATATCAAGCAAGTATTTTTATATTCCACAAGTATTATCAGATTAACTGTTTTATACAGATAATTATCAGACTTAAGTTACAAATGCTGGTAAACACTCAAATACATTGTTTACATTTTTTCACACAAGTAGTGCACTGGGCCTTTACCTCACCTGTGTTAGAGGACCGATATAGACGTCTTCAGCCGTTGGCAATCCTCCCTGTGTTAGAGGACCGATATAGACGTCTTCAGCCGTTGGCAATCCTCCCTGTGTATGTGCTTGAGGACTACATTTTCGTTATGTTCCTCATAGCCCGTTTTTTTTAAATCTCGGTGTGAAGCAGAATGTCTTTGTCAGGTTCATTTGACCTTTTGATCCTCATCCACGTCTTTGATGAACAGATGAATCGGATGCTCCATCTCTGATGGATGCTAAGCACCACTGGCTCCACAGACCCTGTCTGCTGATGCTCAAAGATGGTGATGTCACAAAGCCAGGACAGCTGGGCTGTGGACACATCGGATCAGAGTCCCCTGCAAAACCCAAAGTCCATTCAGAGGGGGTCCTGAGCCCGGTGGCGGCAAAAGAGGGTCCCGTTTCCCAACTAGAGACCCCCGCTCAAAGGCTGATGAGACAGCTGGAGGACGGGAACTGCACTGTGACAACTCTCTCTACATGGGGAGAGAGGCATTTCGGGAAGGCCTCCACCACTCTGATGCTCAGCCCCTCCAAAGCGGCTGGGCCAGAGGTGGAGATGAAGGAGGAGGAGGAGAAGAGGCCCCAGCTGCCCTCCTTCAAGGAGGACTCTGTGGTTGAGGAGAAGGAGCTGGAGGAGAGTGAACTTAAGCGGCAGGACTCCCACAGTGGCTCAGATGGCCTAGGTTCTGACATGGACGACCCATCTGATCCTCCTGTGGAGGAGCTCTATGAAGGCAGCCAGACCCAGGGGCCCAGACTGAGGCTTCAGAACCAGACCAAAGCCAACGGGCTAACTAATGATGAGACTATCGCCAACAGAGCACAGGCAAACGGTGAAGAGGGAGCTGTGGGGGACTGCACGCCTTCCCCTATGTCTATGTCAGTGGATCCAGACAATGAGCTACAGGCTGGCCCCGCGGGCATTCTGTCCAGGGAGCGAGGCACTATCCTGGGGAAGGTGGCCCCTGTGTGGGTCCCTGACGCCCATGCGCTGGTCTGTATGATGTGTGAAGTCAGGTTCACTTTCACCAAGAGAAGGCACCACTGTCGCGCCTGTGGCAAGGTGAGGGTCTTACACCACTTGGTTGTATTTAAATTAAGAAGGGATTGCATGTTTGTCTATGGTCTCTTTTCCCTGAGAAAGGAGGCTGACCATTAGTGATTGTGTGTGTGTGTCCTACAGGTATTCTGTTCAGTGTGCTCCGGTCTGAAGTTCCGACTAACACACCTGGATGGGAAGGAGGGGCGCGTCTGTGTCTCCTGTCACTCAACTCTAGTGAAAAGTGAGTATCACCTGACAACAACTGTTACCATGACACTACAGGCAAAAACAGTGTGTTACACAGTTCATTGGTGCAACATGCAGAAATGTCAATATTATTGACACTCTCTTGTTATTTTCTTTAGGAACCCCTCCCAGGGGGAGAAGGAGGGTGTGGTTTGCTGATGAGATCCTCTCCAATGAGAAATCAGACTCTGCCCCTTGTACACCAATCAGAGGCCCCACCTTCTCACCGCTATTATTGAGGAGAAGTATAGCTGCTACAATCAGAAGCGCCACTGGCTCACCACAGACCAGCAGGAGGGCGCCAATAGCACAGGGGCCGCCCCTGCTCAATGTATGTAACAAAACATTGTCAGACCAGACTCATTTACTGCAATTGATTTAAAATGTAAATAAAAGAGCTAAGGATGTGCTCACATGTAATGCAGTCTTTCTGTTGATATCTTTGATATCCATAACCCCAAAGTAATCTATAAGCTCTCTCTCTCTCTCTTTCTGACTCTTTCTCTCTCCTTCCTCCTCCCTCTCTTCTCTTCCTCCTTCTCTCCTCTTCCTCCCTCCCTCTCTCCTCTTCCTCCTTCTCCCCTCTTCCTCCTTCTCTCCTCTTCCTCCCTCTCTCCTCTTCCTCCTTCTCTCCTCTTCCTCCCTCTCTCCTCTTCTTCTTTCTCTCCTCTTCCTCCCTCTCTCCTCTTCCTCCCTCTCTCCTCTTCCTCCCTCTCTCCTCTTCCTCCCTCTCTCCGCTTTCTCCCGCTCTCCTCTTCCTCCCTCTCTCCTCTTCCTCCCTCTCTCCTCTTCCTCCCTCTCTCCTCTTCCTTGGGGCAGCAGGTAGCCGAGAGCCTAGAGGTTAGAGAAGCAGGTCGGGTTCGAATCCCATGTCTGACAGGGGGACATCTGGTTGGGAGTGTCCTAGATGCCATCACCTGCAGTTGTGCCCTTGACACTTAACTGCTCACTGGGTGTTGTACTAGTCGCTGCCCACTGCTCCAGCCACTCTATGTGTGTGTGTGGATTGGGTACAACAGAAGACCAATGTCTGTCTTGTATGGATTAATAAAGTATTACTCTGCCCTCTCTGTATAGCCTCTGCAGGAGGTGTGTGGGCCCTGTGGCTGGGGTACAGCAACCCTGGTCAGCAGCCATATCAGTAGCTCTGCCAACCTTATCCCACTGGATGGCCTCCCTCCCATCCTCACCTCTACTGGAGTCAAAGGAGGTACAACCAGGACACCAACACTGGAGATGCTAACCGCTAGCTCACTTTAGCTCACTGTACTGGTATTGTCATAGGGCAGATGTATTCAACTCCTACCCTATGAGGACCGGAACCTGCTGGTTTTCTGTTATACCTGATAATTAATTGCACACACCTGGTGTCCCAGGTCTAAATCAGTCCCTGATTAGAGGGGAACAATGAAAGAATGCAGTGGAACTGGCTTCGAGGTTGAGTTTGAGGGTCATAGGGTTTGGTAGTCCACTACAGGATATGCTGAAGGCTAGCTCACTGTACTGGGATTGTCATAGGGTTAGGTAGTTAGCTACTGGAGATGCTAATGGCTGGCTAGCTCACTGTACTGGGATTGTCATAGGGTTAGGTAGTTAGCTACTGGAGATGCTAATGGCTGGCTAGGTCACTGTGCTGGGATTGTCAAATGGACAGTTATTTTTAATAGTTTATAGGGATGTCTAGGTCACCGTTTCATCTGTTTCGCCAGACTACACAGTGGAGGAAAGGCCCTCTGAGAGGGTTCTCATCCAGGACCTGGAGAGCGGCAGGCCCAACTCCCTGGTCTTTGTCCTCAACGCCAACCTACTGGCCATGGTCAAGCTAGTCAACTGTATGTGACCTTTTTTCTCAACCTTCAACCCTTTTTTCAGTTATTGACAGTGTGTGTCACACCATTTTCATATTAGCTCACTATTGATGAATTCAAGTCACATGTGACCTCACAATGAAGCGCTACCTCTCATTGGCTCTCCCCAGATGTAAACAGGAAGTGCTGGTGTGTGACGTCGAAGGGCATGCATGCGGTGGGCCATGTGGAAGTGGTGGTGCTGCTGCAGTGTCTGCCCGAAGAGAAGAGCTTCCCCAAAGACATCTTCAGCCACTTTATACAGCTCTACAGGGATGCCCTCACAGGTGAGACTGGCGTTGACGTGGTCTGGCAACGTAGCTACCATTGATCAGCACTGGATTGAGCTCTGAAGCAGGTCTTGAAAGAGTCCCATTTTCCTTCCATTTTCCATTTGAGTCATTTAACAGATACTCTTATCCAGAGCGATTTACAATTAGTGCATTCATCTTAAGATAGCTAGGTGAGACAACAACACATCATAATCGTATCAAGTACATTTCCCTCAACAAATTATTTATCAGCAAAGTCAGTGCTAGTGGGAAAAGAGAAGTGCCTTTTTTTGGGATGGGGGCGCCGTGAGAGTTATTTAAGATAGTCTTCAAAGAGGTAGGGTTTTGAAAGATGGGCAGGGACTCCGCTGTCATGACTTTAGGGGGAAGCTTGTTCCACCATTGGGGTGCCAGGACAGAGATCAGCTTTGACTGGGCTGAGCGGGAGCTGCCCTCCCGTAGGGGTGTGAGGGCCAAGAGACCAGAGGTGGCGGAACGGAGTGCTCGGGTTGGGATGTAGGGTTTTTAAGCCTTGAGACAATTCCCTGTGTGTATCGAGAAGGGTCCACCACCCAAAGGAATTCCAGCCAACTTGACACAACTGTGGGAGGCCCCGTGTAGCTCAGTTGGTAGAGCATGGCGCTTGCAACGCCAGGGTTGTGGGTTTGATTCCCACGGGGGCCAGAATGAAAAATGTATGCACTCACTAACTGTAAGTCGCTCTGGATAAGAGCGTCTGCTAAATGACTAAAATGTAAAATGTAAGCATTGGAGTCAACATGGGCTAGCATTCCTGTGGAACGCTTTCGACACCTTGTAAAGTCCATGCCCTGACGAATTGAGGCTGTTCTGAGGGCAACTCAATATTAGGAAGGTGTTCCTAATGTTTTGTACACTCGGTGTCTATCTCTCTTTCCCTCTCTCCATCTCTATTTTTCCCTCCATCTCTCTCTCTCTCTCCTTCTCCTCTCTCCCCACTCACTGTTTTCCTCCTCTCTCCTCCCTCGTCTCTCCCCCCTCTCCCCACTCTCTCTTCCTCCCCCTCCCTCCTCTCCCTCTCCCTCCCTCCACCCTCCTTTCCCCCTCCTCCCCACTCTCTTATCCCCCCTCCCCCCCTCCTCCTCTCTCCCTCCCCCCTCTCCCCCCTCACCCTCCCCCCCTCCCCCCCTCGTTCTCCCCCCTCCCCCACTCTCTCTCCCTCCCTCCTCCCTCCCCCCTCCTCCCGCTTCCTCCCCCTCTCTCCCCCCCCTCCCTCTCCCCCCTCTCCCCCCTCCCCTCCCCCCCTCTCTCCCCCCCCTCCCCCTCCTCCCTCTCTCTCCCCCCCTCTCCCCCCCTCCCCCTCCCCCCTCCCCCTCCCCCCTCCCCTCCCCCTCCTCCCTCTCTCCTCTCTCCCCCCTCTTCCTCCTCCCTCCCTCCCCTCTCTCTCCCCCTCCCCCCTCCTCCGTCCCCCCCCCCCCCCCCCCCCCCCCCTCTCTCTCTCTGCAGGCAAGGTGCTGAGCCACCTGGGTCTCTCCCAGTTCTCCAGTAGTTTCCTGGGCTGTGAGGAGCATGCAGGGTTCCTCTGGGTGCGCTCCACCCTCCAGTCCCTGCATGGTCTCCCTATGCCCAACCAGCCCTTCCTCTTTGGCCTGCTGGTCCACCGGGATGAGGTGCCCTGGGCCAAGGCCTTCCCCCTGCGCCTCATGCTCAGATTGGGGGCTGAGTACAGATGTGAGTCAGTGCTCTTGAGGCAGGAGAGAGATGTGTGGCTGGAGAGTGCGTGAGTGTGAGAGAGAGAGAGAGAGAAAGGGACGTCCAGTGTAATTCCCATTAAGGCGTTCCTCTCCCTTTCCAGTTTACCCCTGTCCTCTGTACAGTGTGCGCTTCAGGAAGGCTCTGTTTGGGGAAACCGGCCACACCATCATGAGACTACTAGTAGTAAGTAGCTTGCCTCTCATTACACAAACAACAATCAGCACAAAGGTTGAGTTCATTAGGGCACACCGTACCAAAACATTTTACTACAGAAAATGAATGCAGCGTTTCTTACTGGACGAGATCAGAAAATCCCTCCCTGTTTAGGTCCGTTTTCTTCCATTTGGGGCCTAATGAATCACACATTTTTCCCTCATTGCTTGCCAGGACTTCAGGAATTACCGGTACACTCTGCCAGTGGTGCCTGGACTCACTGTAGATCTGGAAGCTCAGAGGACCTGCATTAAAATCCCCACCAACGGCTATGATGAGGTACAGGCAAACCATGAAGCAACACTTGGTTACACTTTATAATAACTGTAATGAATACGCCGTTATAAATGCATATAAATGCTTTATAAATTATGAAACACTCCCTTATAAACAACTCTTTCATCAATAGATCAAGGGTTGACATCTCTCCACCCTCTCTGTCTCTGTCCCTATCTTTCTCCTCTAAATTCAGTTCAAGGGGCTTTATTGGAATGGGAAACATATGTTTGCATTGCCAAAGCAAGTGAAATAGATAATAGATAATCTCTCTCTCTCCTCTCTTTCTCTCTCTCCTCTCTCTCAGCTGATGAAGGTTTTGAATAAGTCCAATGAGCATGTGCTGGCCATGGGGGCATGCTTCAACGTGGCGGCAGACTCCCACCTCATCTGTGTTCAGGGGGACGATGGCCAGTACCAGACCCAGGCTATCAGCATCCACAATCAGCCTCGCAAAGGTGGGCGCGCCCCTGGAATCATCAGAGGGCAATGGGGACTAGGGGAGACTGTAATCTCCCGCGGACATTGTAAATTGTAAATAACTGCCTTAATGTTGCTGGTTCCCAGGAGGAGTAGCTGCTGACTTGGCAGCAGCTAATGGGGATCTTTAATAAATACAAATACAAATCTGATCAAATTACGCAAGAATTTACTTCCGGGTTACAGATATTAGGGAGACTGCAGAGTCCACTGCCTGTCCTGTAATCAAAGAGAAACACCAGTAGAGAGGGAATGCTACACAGGGGCAAGCAGCACATCACCTACAACCAGGGAGAGGGAGGGAGAGATGTTGTATTGACTGCCACGTAACACCCACAGTGTATCTGGCCTTTGACAGCCTAGGGAAAATCATATGTATGATTTGCCACGTTTTTATATGTGCTCATTGCAAGAACTGTGCCTTAGCTATCACTTTTTCACCACTGGAAGGCAATGTGGTGTCATGTGAGAAGGTGAACTATCCTCGAGAAAGATACAGGTGGAGAAAGCTTAGTTCTATCATTATTTTTGGTTAGTCCAACTGTAATATTAAACGTGTTTATATCTACAAGTCAAGTGGTAATATGTGGTGTTGTGTTTTGGTTCAGTTACCGGTTCCTGCTTCTTTGTGTTCAGTGGAGCCCTGAAAGAAGCATCAGGATATCTGGCCAAATCCAGCATCGTTGAAGGTACTGTCATCCTTGTGTATCTTTACTAAGGACTGGAACATTACCTTACTAATCATATTCAACTATTCACATACAGAAATAGTCTTATTATGACTACTTTACTACTAACTTTCAGCATAAATATAATTTCCTTATTTAGAGTCTGTCAATGTTTGTGTGTATGTGTGTGTCCATGTGCACTCAAGGTTGTGTGTATGGCTGTATGTATGTGCAGGTGAGTGTGCGTGTACTTGTTGCTGTCTGTCTGTGTGTGTTTTTGCTGTATTGCTGTCCCTCTCTCCAGATGGGCTGATGGTGCAGATCACTGTGGAAACCATGGTGGAGCTTCGCAGGTCACTACGGGAGATGAAAGACTACACCATTTCCTGTGGGCAGATCGACCAATCAGACAGCCAGGAGCATGTCCAGGTCCAATGGCTAGAGAAAGAATGCACTTTAAACAAGGGGTAAGTGTTTGGTCATTACATCTGCCCTGATCAGTGTCCCATGGCTAGTTCTATAGCCTATCATTATCCTATAATTAACCTCTCACTAACCCTAACCCATTGTAATTTCATCCAGTCTTCAAGTCTGTTTCAGACCTGCTCACCCCCTTGCCCATTAACCATTCTCTAGCGCTGTAGGCTACTCTTTATCGTTGCCTGCTACTTTGTATGACCCTGTTTGTGTGTGTGTCCGTGTGTGTGTTGCAGGGTTATTAGCCCCATTGATGGCAAGTCCATGGAGTCCATCAGCAGTGTCAAGATGTTCCAGAAGTCAGAGTACAAGGCCAATGGAAAGGTCATCCGCTGGACAGAGGTAACCCCAGCCTTTGGACCCAACAATATCTAGGGAATATCTAGGGCACATCTAACCACTGGTCTTGACTCATACTCAGAGCCTCTTGTTATTGTATTCTCTAAGTGCATTGTTGTCTCTCGTGTGTTCGTCAGGTGTTCTCCCTACAGAAGGGGGGTCATCCTAAGAGCCAGAGTGACCACCACACAGAACACAGCAGGCTGACAGAGAGACTGGCCCGGGCATTCTGCCTGGCACTGGGCCCACACCTCAAGCTGCTGAAGGAGGATGGCATGGCCAAGCTGGGGCTGCGCGTCACGCTGGACTCCCACCAGGTGAGGGCGCCATTGGCTAGGATGAAGATACTGCACCTAGGTCATTGGCCCATTTAGACCTTTGAGGAAACGTAATCTTTGAAATTGTATATCACTTTATTCCCGCCTGACTTTAATAGTTGTAATACTTCTTGATTTACTACTATGTGAGTGGTTGACCACCTTTTAATATAAAGTTATTCTATGTAAATAGTTATCGGATATAGGCCTGCAGAATATTTCCAAAGCTAGCAGTTGAACCCATAGATGTGTGGTGGTTAACATCGCTGTTCCATGTTCCAGGTGGGGTTCGTGGCCGGCAGTAACGGCCTGCCCCTCCCAGCCCCGTACCTCAACGCCCTGGACACCGTGCTGAGCCCAATCATCCACAGCAGGGGGCGCAAGAGGAGCGAGGAACCTGTAGTCATGGAGCTCATCTTCTATATCCTGGAGAACATCTCCTAGGGGAGATGGGGTCAAAGTGCACACACATCCCCACATCCACTCGACATCCTCTCTCCTGGTTCTCCATTTGTGCTGCTGTGAGTTTGATAGCTTCAAAACAGCATTGGTTGGAGGAGTACGATCTTTCATGGGACATAAAAGCTCACCTCCAGGATATATGTCTCAGCCAGCCTGTGGTAAAGAGTGGCTGGATGGTAAGTGGTCTGACTCACCAAAGCTCGTCCATAGGTCACCCTGCCTTGGCCTCTAACTCAGCAGCACTAATTATTTCATTTCATGGCTTGAGAACAGTACATTTCTGTATATTTTCATTAAATACCAATATTTTGAGAATGCCTTTAAACTGGGGGCTGTATTCAGTTCCAATGGGAAAATGAGAATGACTTGAAATGTTATGTATCAGTAGACCTGTAGCTAGCTGTTTGATGCAAACTGAATGAATGTTGAATAATGTTTTCAAATGTGGATGTATTTGAATTCCTCTCAATTACCCCTGAAATGCATTACAGTCAACCTAGGATGAATAAACATTATTAACACAAAGGACATCATACAAGGATTTGTCAAACATTGTTTGAAATGCTTGTGGAAATCAAGGTATAAAGTTCAATTTTCCATTAGGATCAGTATCCAAGCAGATGGAAACACATTTCCTGCTGTAAGGAGACATTAATCGTCCAACTCTACAGTGTCAAGGTCCCACAGAAACACTTTGAAAGAAGCACCATAACGTTGCTCTGTCATGACAAGCAGGTAATTTACCAACTCATTGAGGTTGTTGGGCTTACAGCCTTGTGAAGTAAGAATGGCCTTAGCCTCGACACGTCATAGATACTGTAGACATTTCCAGACAGTCATTACAAGTTGTGTCGTTGGCATTATTGGGTAATTTACAGTGTCACCAGCTCAAAGTCAGTCATATACCAGTATTATGTGTGTGCCCTAGTTCAACCCTGAACCATGCCCCTCCCCCACACAGAGAGAGCTGTGGGCTGGGTGAATAATAATGAGGGTCAAAGATCATACCCTCAAGACATCCCGTTTTTGGAAATGGTGCGAGATTAGAACGTCTTGGGGGGTATGATCTTTGACCCTCTAACTTTCTCACTCATCATTATTCACAATTCATTCAGGATTATCCATAATCATGGTAGCATCCACATTAATGTAGAAGTGTTTAGAAACATATTATATTATTATTTACAATACAAATGACACTACATTATTGACCATTTCTTTCTATTGGGCACAAAATAATCTGAAACACAATCAAAACTGCAAATCCATCCAAAAAGTATGTAGAGTCACAAGCTTGACGTAGTCATTGTGTGCTAGGAATATGTGGCCAAATAAACTTTTGACTGCTTTATTTATAATAATCTTCAGAGGTGTCAATAATTTTGACCCGTACCTTTTATAGAAAAAAAGTATTACTTGTTAAACAAAATCTCTTTCTCTTAGTATAAAATAATATAATTTCCCAATTTCTTTTGCATACAATGTAGCTCAGTATTTTAATTATTTATTTTATATAGTCATTATTGCTCATCTTTATCAAGGGTGTCAATCATTTCGGGGTGGCAACATCAGTGAAGATAACATCAGGTCATAATTTGTATCCTCTTCATACATTGTGTTCATAGTTAGTTTTGCAGTTAAAAAAAAAATTATAACTAAGAAACAACGAAATGTGGGACCCCAACTGCAGAAGTCATTGACCTCATCATTTCCCCAGGTTTTTGTGCTGAATAAAACTAAAAACGATCAGAAAATAAACATAACCAAAACATTCTTTGGAATCCACAGTAGTTTGTGCAGGATCTCTTATTCACGCTTCTTGGGTGTTCTTTTCCGAAGACCCTAGGACTTCTTCATCTTGCCCGCATGGGCACTACCATTTTCGTTGTGACTGGAACCGTTGCTGGTGCCATTGCTGTTACCTTTCTTGTGGTGCTTGCCATTGCCATTGGCGACCATGGTGGTCCCATTGGCCTTGCCGTTGAGGCCAGGCTTGGAGTCCTGCTTGGGCAACCGCTTTCCCTTCACGTATGCCTGGTACCAGAAGTTGGAGAAGAGCACAAAGAAGAAGGTGCCATACATCCAGATGAGGTGGATGAACAGGGGGACCTGGTAGTCACAGCTGTCCATGAAGTAATACTGGGTGACGTGGAGGGACACCATCACAAACTGAACCTGTCGGTGGAATGAAGAGGAACAATATGCATATGGAGATGAATGTTCTGAAGTGGCACAGTGCTTGCACTGATCAACAATGGTATTTCAGACTAGTTTATTTACTACTTTAGTATACTGCATCGACAGTCTAAAAAAAACGAGTACAGATCGCCTTTTAGAGAAACAACTAAAAACTGCTTTATAAAACAGCCGAAAAGACCTGGCTAAAGCTTACTCCTCATAGTACAAATCTAAACTGGAAATGACAACATCATATACATTCAAACTCCCTAAAACATACCAGCTGGATGGCGGTCATGTACTTCTTCCACCAGAGGAACTTCTGGAAGCGCGGTCCAGCCGCAGACAGGCCGTAGTAGGAGTACATGATGACGTGGACGATGCAATTCACCATGGCATGGAAAGAGCCTATTCCCCCTGGGGTAAAACACACAGAACACTTCAAACCAACCCTGCCCATATTCTACTGGATCCACCAACAACATACCTTTGTCTACTGCAAATTAATTGTATTCCCACCATTTTACCCACCCAGTTTTACAATACCGATATTGTGGACTCACCGGGAGCTAAGCTGACACCCCACCACCAGGTCCAGGGCATGAAAGAGTGGTGGAAGACGTGCAGGAAGGTGATCTGGCCATGTTTCTTCCTCAGAACGAAAAACACCTGACCCAAAAGAGAGAAACATGTCAAATACAACCATGATGACCGTAACGTGAATAGGGGGAAAGACTGAGGAGATGCAAATCTGAGGGAAATAATCTGAAGTCTTACCGTGTCCAAGAGCTCAATGAATTTGGAGAACAAGAATAACCAGGCCACTCGAACCATCTAGTGAAGGAACACAACACACCATGCAAACGTGAGTAATTTGGACAAAACAGCCTAGCAGTAGTCTAAAGATAGGATATTCCTACTTATCCACTGTGACAATACTAAGAATGTGTATCTTGTCTTGCATGCTTTCTTTCAAAGAAGATGCATCTCATGACCATCACAGGGAAACCATGCGTGAAGCGAAGACTCAAGACTTACTCTAAGGCCTTGGGGGCTATCCGAGTAATCAACTGCGTCACATCTCCATGTGTATGTCGTGGCCCAGCCAGACATCAAGAACTAAAATGACAAGAGAACAAATTGAACAAACAGATTCTGTAGCTACCGGTAGTCAAACTAGATTGGAAAGAAGCCATACTGTTATTAACAAAAGCAAGTGTATATTGACTATATGGGTCATCTTCTTCATGCAAATCTCAAATCTTATTTACCTCCATCTAGGCAATGGTTAATTTAGCTAGTGATCCAATTATCCAACACATTCAGACAGAGCTGCCACATACCAAACACCCAATATACTGCTAGGGAAAAGACTGGCTCCAGTCTGTAGCTCAGTTGGTAGAGCATGGCGCTTGCAACGCCAGGGTTGTGGATTCGATTCCCACTGGGGGGCCAGTATGAAAAATGTATGCACTCACTAACTGTAAGTCGCTCTGGATAAGAGCGTCTGCTAAAATGTAAATGTAAGTCCTGTAGAGATACCAATCAAGAACCCCGATCTTTGAGAGACAAGAGCTTTGCGTCATAGTGTTTCACCTCATTTTTATTTATTTATTTTATTTTATACCTCATAGACAATAAAGGCATTCAACGCCACCATGGAGAAGTTGTAAGTGATCATGGCCTCCTTGAGCTGGAGGGGCTTGCGGTTGGCCATGAAGCGAGGCCCAGCGACCAGCACGAAGAAGATGTAGGTCAGCAAGATGGCCGACATGTTCACCGGACTCTGCATGAGTGGGTAGCTCCACAGTCGCGGGTCTGAAAAACAAAACATTAGCTGTAAAATACACTACAAAACAGGTCTATGACCCAAAAAACTTGCTTACAGCTTTCAAGGTACACAAAGCAGAGGTATAGTCAAGTAATTAACTATGCAGAAAAATCCCTCACCTGTTCCCTTCAAGAGGTACTCATAAACCCCCATGGCTCTAGCACCAATGTCCTGAAGCATTTTGACTAGCTTCCCCCTCTGGTATCACTACCCAATCACCTGTGGAAAAGCAAATGGATTAGTCATGATGTAATTCATGTATTTAGCACCTAGCCCATTGCTTTTAACCTGCCTTGATTCTAAATGTGTTGTTTTTAATTGTATATAATGTTTGTTATTTACTCAAGAGCTTTGAGATAACTCTAATGAAAACTGCTATACAAATGAAATGTAATATGCTACTGCAATACACTTATGTGATATGCTATTGCAGTCTCTTTAGGTACTGACTTTACAATGTCATTACCCAAACATCATTCATGGTATTAAAAATGACAAAAATAACAGGACTGCCTGCATCATATTTAATAAGCAGTTGTACTTGGCAAAACCATCAACCCTTACTCGCAAAAACATGACATGGAACGTCATAGCATAGCGTTACTATGGCATCACTCTAGAGCTGGTATTTTATTTGGTTTCATGACATGAAAGAAGGAGACAGGAAATGTACGTGTGCTACAGTTGATGGTCCTTGTTCAGCAGCAGAGTGGTTCTGGATCTGAGCAAATAGCACTGATCCAGCATACCACACTCTGCCCCCACATCCCAGCATGCCTTGTCCCTGTCCCTGCCCCTGCTCGCTCAGCAGACATGGCCTGACAGCAGAGAGGAGGGGCTACAGGGGCCAGATGAGCGTCTCCATCCCACAGCATTCGCCTCAGTTTGGGACTGCCAAGTACGGGAACCAGGCCAAAAACACAGAACCCAAGGCAAAACACAAACTCTCTCTCTGCTCTCCCCAAATGACCCCAGCCGTGAGAGAGAGGAGGCAAAGGCAATAGTCTTTGATGTTTGAATTTGTTCTAGACCAGTCTCACGAGATCCAGGTGCCGACAGAACTACCCTTACTGAAGAGGGAGATCAAACAGGCTTATTTACCAACATGTTACATCAGGGAACAAACAGCATAACACAGGTGTGACGGTTTTACCTCAAGGTTTATAAGGACAATTGGACAGAAGACAGGTATTCCACAGACTGGCACATTTACCTTAGGGTTATAAGGACAATTGGACTGAACTCAGCCACCTGCAACTTATATCAACGACTGAACTACAAGTATCAATACTGGTATAAATCTTAAAATCTTCTAATCTCTCAACACATAGGCTGGCTACAATGTGTATAGATCTACATAAAATGTGTACACGGGCTGAGCGCAGATATTATATCCAAGTAACTGTATTTCCAGTCTTGACAAAAGCTATCCATATCAAAATCTCAACTCCATATAGGGCATGCCGTCAATGTTATTGGTCAATAGCTGGGATGTGTGGGTGCGGTAGCATTCTTGCCACACTATGGAGCAAGAAGGATCCATTGTTCAGAGAAAACCTACCCTGAGCTCTCCCTGCCCTAGGAGTAAAGTCTAGTCCACCCTAAGCTAACACCATTAAAGGTAATGATCCAGCCTACTGGAATGTGCAGCGGGGGAGGGAGTGTTAGGCCTAATGACTGGGATATCAGGAGGATGACAACAGCAGAGTATAGAAAAGTGTCTAGCATACAGCAAAAACATCTACCTGTCCTTAGAGCAGAACACACAGTACAGAATCAACATTGATTCATTCCATCAGTAACGTCTGAGCATAAAGGGAACAGTATAGGAGACATTGTCAAGTGTACACATCGTTGAAATCGGAGGGACCCTACATAATTACAACAATAGTCCAAGTGGGAAGTGTTCCCTCTCGGCTCCTTTCCACTGGTATGCGCACGGAAAGCCCTTTCAATAAACCAAACACTAGGCTGGAGGTCTTTAATACAGCAAGAATGTCAAGCAACACCAGTTTTCAAGGGGGCAATTCAAGATAAATGCTTTGTTGAAGGTGGCAATTACGCAAACGTTTTTTTGTGTGTGTGTACATGTCAACAGTTACTCCTTCATGCACTAACACCATTTGAAACTTTGCCCAACATGATTTCCGATTTATCTTGTGGTGTGAACGACAACCTGTGACCTACATACACATCAGTGTTGAATCTATGACGAATTTTCATGCGACAGTGATTACGAACTTGAAGTCAGCCGCCAGCCATTTTCAGACCAACAGGTCTTTCAATAAAATGGTATGGCCTTTAATCATATAAACTGCACACATAACTGTATGTAAAAGGTAACTGGCATTATCTGTACTTCTCTTGAACTCCGGTAAAGGTCAGGAGTAGTTTACCAGTAACTGTAGCCACAACCCACATGAAAAAAATACTATGGTATACTATGGTATAAATACTATAGTATTCATTGTCGTGTTTTTGCAGACTTTACTGTAGTATTCACTGTAGGGTTTACTGTAGTATTTACAGTTAACTATAGTATAAATACTGTAGTAAAATAAAACTTTAGTATATACTATAGTAATTAATGTAGTGTTTGAGGATTGTAGTACACTGTAGTATTTACTGTAGTGTTTGAGGATTGTACTATACTGTAGTATTTACTCTAGTGTTTTTGCAGACATGACTGTAGTATTTACTATAGTGTTTTTGTTTTATTATCTTTGACATAGAAGTGGAGGCCTTCTCCTTAGTATTCCTACTAGAGGAATACTAAAATAGCAAATTTTCCATAACCTGTAGGTAGGTACTAGGACTGGGCTCTGAACAGAGAGTTCAGTGCTTCTGCTCTTTTCTGTAACCTGTAGGGAACACAGTACAGTGAGGGAAAAAAAGTATTTGATCCCCTGCTGATTTTGTACGTTTGCCCACTGACAAAGTAATGATCAGTCTATAATTTTAATGGTAGGTTTATTTGAACAGTGAGAGACAGAATAACAACAAAAAAATCCAGAAAAACGCATGTCAAAAATGTTATAAATTGAATTGCATTTTAATGAGGGAAATAAGTATTTGACCCCCTCTCAATCAGAAAGATTTCTGGCTCCCAGGTGTCTTTTATACAGGTAACGAGCTGAGATTAGGAGCACACTTTTAAAGGGAGTGCTCCTAATCTCAGCTTGTTACCTGTATAAAAGACACCTGTCCACAGAAGCAATCAATCAGATTCCAAACTCTCCACCATGGCCAAGACCAAAGAGCTCTCCAAGGATGTCAGGGAGAAGATTGTAGACCTACACAAAGCTGGAATGGGATACAAGACCATCGCCAAGCAGCTTGGTGAGAAGGTGACAACAGTTGGTGCGATTATTCGCAAATGGAAGAAACACAAAATAACTGTCAATCTCCCTTGGCCTGGGGCTCCATGCAAGATCTCACCTCGTGGAGTTGCAATGATCATGAGAACGGTGAGGAATCAGCCCAGAACTACACGGGAGGATCTTGTCAATGATCTCAAGGCAGCTGGGACCATAGTCACCAAGAAAACAATTGGTAACACACTACGCCGTGAAGGACTGAAATCCTGCAGCGCCCCGCAAGGTCCCCCTGCTCAAGAAAGCACATATACATGCCCGTCTGAAGTTTGCCAATGAACATCTGAATGATTCAGAGGAGAACTGGGTGAAAGTGTTGTGGTCAGATGAGACCAAAATGGAGCTCTTTGGCATCAACTCAACTCGCTGTGTTTGGAGGAGGAGGAATGATGCCTATGACCCCAAGAACACCATCCCCACCGTCAAACATGGAGGTGGAAACATTATGCTTTGGGGGTGTTTTTCTGCTAAGGGGACAGGACAACTTCACCGCATCAAAGGGACGATGGACGGGGCCATGTACCGTCAAATCTTGTGTGAGAACCTCCTTCCCTCAGCCAGGGCATTGAAAATGGGTTGTGGATGGGTATTCCAGCATGACAATGACCCAAAACACACGGCCAAACAACAAAGGAGTGGCTCAAGAAGAAGCACATTAAGGTCCTGGAGTGGCCTAGCCAGTCTCCAGACCTTAATCCCATAGAGAATCTGTGGAGGGAGCTGAAGGTTCGAGTTGCCAAACGTCAGCCTCGAAACCTTAATGACTTGGAGAAGATATGCAAAGAGGAGTGGGACTCTGGTAAGACAAGGGGCGGCGGTCTGTGTATATTTGTAAACAACAGCTGGTGCACAAAATCAAATACTAAGGAAGTCTCGAGGTTTTGCTCGCCTGAGGTAGAGTATCTTATGATAAGCTGTAGACCACACTATTTACCAAGAGAGTTTTTCATCTATATTTTTCATAGCTGTCTATTTACCACCACAAACCAATGCTGGCATTAAGATTGCACTGAATGAGTTGTACAAGGCCATTAATCAACAGGAAAACGCTCATCCAGATGCAGCGCTCCTAGTGGCCGGGGACTTTAATGCAGGGAAACTTAAATCCGTTCTACCTAATTTCTACCAGCATGTTAAATGTGCAACCAGAGGGAAAAAAAACTCTAGACCACCTTTACTCCACACACAGAGACGCATACAAAGCTCTCCCTCGCCCTCCATTTGGCAAATCTGACCATAACTCTATCCTCCTGATTCCTGCTTATAAACAAAAACTGAAGCAGGAAGCACCAGTGATTCGGTTAATAAAAAAGTAGTCAGATGACGCAGATGCTAAGCTACAGGACTGTTTTTGCTAGCACAGACTGGAACATGTTCCGGGATTCTTCAGACAGCATTGAGGAGTACACCACATCAGTCACTGGCTTCATCAATAAGTGCATCGATGATGTCGTCCCCACAGTGACCGTACGTACATACCCCAACCAGAAGCCATGGATTACAGGAAACATCCGCACTGAGCTAAAGGGTAGAGCTGCCGCTTTCAAGGAACAGGACTCTAACCCGGACGCTTATAAGAAATCCCGCTATGACCTCCGACGAACCATCAAACAGGCAAAGAGTCAATACAGGTCTAAGATTGAATCATACTACACTGGCTCTGACGCTCGTCGGATGTGGCAGGGCTTGAAAACTATTACAGACTACAAAAAGGGAAGCACAGCCGCGAGCTGCCCAGTGACACAAGCCTACCAGACGAGCTAAACCACTTCTATGCTCGCTTCAAGGCAAGCAACACTGAAGCATGCATGAGAGCACCAGCTGTTCCGGATGACTATGTGATCACG